GGGGGGTCGGGTCGCATAGTGAGTATATATGTCCAGCCATACCATGAATTGCTCCTCATTTTGGAGTAGTAATAGCACCACCGGCTTTGCGGCGGCTTTGCTCCTAACTTGATGATAATGGTCCGGCCAGTAGAGAGCCGCGTATTCTGCCAGTCTGTGCTCTCGCTGGAACTCTGTGCTGTGCTCCCACCCTGGGCCGATTTGCCTGAGGTACATGAGACACGTGGTGAGTATGTGAAGATGCACATCGCCCTCGAATAGAGAGTTGCAGTTGCGAGAACGAGGTCTCGGTAGATGCGGTGCCGCATTTCCACCGTCTCCCCTGAGATGCTGATTATCGGGCCAAATGCGTCCTCCAGGTCTCTGCGTAGGCTCCGGAAATAGACTTCCGTAGGTGTTGCGATGTGAGCGTCTCAATGCTCGTGCGAGCAAGAGCGGCACAGACCGCGAGCTCCGGTACCGTCATGGGCCGTACCGAACGAGTGAGCCAGGGCAAGACTGCTGCGCCTAAGCTTCCATGTAAGAATTCAAATTTAGTCGCCGGAGCTTTGAAGAAAACTTCCAAGTCCGAGTGAAGAGTAGCGACTCTAGTAATGACCTCATCGGGGGTGGAAGGGGCCTCGGCCTTTTCGAGGAAGTCTATCTTCTGGGATAACTCAAAGAGTGTAGCGGATCCCGTCCACAGCCTTTTGACTCCTTCGGATTCAAGGTCAAGGATCTTCCAAACCGGGTTGGCCGCAGCAATGTTCCTTATCCTTGCCTTGGCAAGCCGCTCGAGCTCCCCAGCTGCTTGAATTCGTTCCTGCAAGTCAATTACTAGCGGAGACTCGGGATTACCGTGATGCGTATGCGAGGTGTAGCCAATGGCACGTACCTTCAATGCGCTTTGCGATGAAGTTCTCATCTCGTCGAGATCGCGCAACAGTTCGTCCCGCTCCTCGGCGGTATAGTGATGAACGCCGTTGATGATACAAAATACCGATTTTCCAGCGCAGGCTGATTGAATTGAACACAGCAGGCCCCTGAACGTCTCTTTGGTGAAGATGCTCTCTTTACTAAGCCATGTGAAGAGCTGTGTGCTATAACGGGCTGCAGATGGCCATAGGAGTGCTTGTTGGCAGAAAGAATGTCAGAGACTCACCATCGAGTTTCTTTCCGGGTCTCTCAAAGTCACAACGTGGCCGCGCTTCGTCTCGCTGTCAATATTTTGACAAGTTTCGGTATCCTCGAAGTGGCGGACATCATGGGAGTCGAAGGTAGATGGCAGACGGTCGCTCTACTCAGTACTGCCTAAACAGCGTGTCACAGGGCTGAAACCGCAACAAAGGCGTTGGGTCAACAACGGTTATATAATAACAAAGAAGGCATCACGAGGCCCGAGGTCAGACCCTAAGCAAGGGATGCCTCAGGTCTCTAGCAAACACCGAATTCTTGGTAAAGCGGATGAAAAGGGTGGCTGAGTAAGTGAATACGGAACGTGGGCAAGCTTCCGCTTTACCTCTTCAATCTAATATATAATATAGGCATCCCCTGGCCTTTATTTAACTAAAGTAAAAATACTCTTTGGTAATTGATTATTACAAAAATGGGGATTGCGGTATTTCTCTTCATAGTATCGCGTTTGTAGTATTATGAACCTTGTTGTTGACGCCATCAAGCCGGCCCCCGGCAGGATCCCCGAAGGGCACCTAAAAGGCCGTGTCCTAAAGGGGATAAATTACATCTCTTGCTCTGTCCGCGTTGCCTATCCCTAGGGCAACTTGCTTGTTGACATCAGGGTTTATAGAGACCTTGGGTCCCTCAAGGCCCCACGGAAGCCCAGGGACCTTTGATACCTGTCACACGGAAGCGACGTATCCCTCCGAGGGCGGTCAATACATCCTCGTTCAGCCGCAACCGGCAACATTAGCATAAAGAATGCATCGCGAGGGATCACAAAGAGGTCAGGAGGGCAGACAGGGCTTTCAAGGATGAAAGCCTAAGGCAGCCATGACCCGGATACCTCAGTTATCCAGGTCAGGTTACACACACCTAGAATATCGTGTATATATACAGGTCAGAGGTCAGAACCCTAGATTGATGAAACCAAAGGCCTTTAACCCAAAGATGGCTATTGGATTGCATTCGAAGCTATTCACAAGCCCTCTATCAAGCCCTTATCCCAATACCTCAAAGTCGATCATTAAAGACTGAATTGAGCCCTCTGCTCCAAGCCCAGTTATCCTGCGCTTGTCACTTTCAGGAATGTTGAAATGATCCTCAGGGTGAGTACTACACCCGCGCAATTCCGTGTGCTGAAGACGCGTGGATGACTATTGGCCTCGTCCGTAGTCTTGGAGCGAAGCCCCTATTAATATTTACTTGTTTTTCTGCAGAAGCCAGAGAATGACCCGTATGGAAGCGTCAAGGATCGGGTCAAGGGACTCGAGTACAAGGCCGCCTACTAGAAAGCGGCTGTATATTGCCGATCAAGCAGCGGGATAATGACAGCTCTAAGCTGTATAATGACTTGTCGGATACAGCAAAGGCTGCAGCAGCAGAACTGCGGAGCAAGCAGCAAGAGAAGAAGGAAGCGAAGGAGAAACGAGAGCAAGAGCTTAGGGATGAGAAGAAAACGGGGGAGGATACGGCAGCTGATAAGGAGGTCAAACGATTGGCAGCTGAGATCGAGGACTAGGAGGAGCAGGCTAAGCAAGAGGATCAGGAATCGTATGAAAATTCTAAGAAGGCGGAGGCGACAGTCGATGATGCCGATGAATCCGATCGCAGGAAAGAGGCAGCGGAGGAGAGGAAGAAGGAAAACCTCGGGGGATGTGTACGGAAGTCGCGGTGAGTAGGTATAATGCGGCCTATAAACGTTGTATACTTTCAGCTGCAACTTTTATGTGCTCAGCCATTTCTCTCATCCAGCACACCCATCGCCAGCTTCATGCCTCCTCCCTCTTCAACGCCTCTACGGATTATGAAGGGGAGCAGGTTGGCAGTTGTGCCTTACTATAGTTGTCTTGCCCTTGATTGCCAGAGTGCCCTATCGCTCATGGTTTATGTCGACTGTTTAAATAAGATATCTAATAAGCTGATATGCCTGCAAAAGGGAACTCTTGGCAATCGCAACATATAAGTAATGTGTGGGCATGCAATTAGAGGCGCATTTTCTGTCAGCATATTACAAATTTATAGGGGAAATACAAGACAAAAAATCCTTTAATAAGTCTTATAACGACACCATCATGTTCACACTGTGAAGCCTACCATACCCAGTATACAACGAGAACAGTCGACTTCCCATCGTTAGTATTGTTTTGAATCTAAGCTGAGCCCTAAAATTATACTTGTCATCTAACGATCTTTCTTAGAACACCGGGCAAGGTTGACCAGGTCCCCCAAAGGCAACTTGTCCTGTTCTTTGCACATCTTAGCGTTGGCTACGCACTGATCTCGGCGTGATTCTTGGTCCGCGCATATTTGTATTCTGTCGACGCGCATTCAGGGAGCTCTAGCTCCGGTGCGTTGGGGCTCACTCCACGAGCTTGGTAGAACACTAAGGCGTTGAAGCACTGGGCCCGTTCAGTTTCAGGGCGGCTGCAGTGCCACACGAGCTAGCCCTAGAGCCAAGATTGTCGTTGATCCAGTCCGTGTAGCTGCTAACTCTGGTATACACGGTGGGAGTCTTGTTGCACAAATCTTGTGCTCTTATGTCCTGGATGCTCCATGACACGACACCAAGCAACTCCCTTGTTTCCGGGTCGAAAAGAGGACCGCCGCTATCCCTCCTGCAAGCATTCTTGCCTTGTCCACCAGCGCATATTATGGTATCTCTGTCACCTATATTCTGGTACTTGTACTTGGCGATACAGTCCTCGCGTGCGAGAACATCAACGACAACCTTGCTAAGATTTTCAGGACGGATAGACTGTCTCCCTTTATCATCTTGAGGACGCACACCAATAGGGGTTTGATAGCCCCTATCCCGCAAGTTAGCATACATATATGCTGCAGTGCTGAGCCGTGGCACTTACCAGCCAGCAACTATCGCGGCGGAATTGCCCGCGACATCCCGGTCGGCCGCAGGAAGCCTGGCATAGTCAATGGTGTCGCTCTTCTCAATCGGAGTTGATAATTTTAGGATGGCAATATCATTTGCTTCCCGAGCGCCCTTCTGGTCGCTACATTCAGACAACGGCATGCCCTTTCGGCATTCATTGGGCGAGCCTGGTTTGTAATTGGGGTGCTTCTTGACAGATGCAACTGCTACATTTACTCCCCCTGTCTTGGTGGACTGCCGCAATTGTTAGCTCTGTGCTGCTCAATATTCCATCAGCTGCACCAAAGTACTAGACTGAAAGGCGGGTAGTATAGTTACCACTGTTCCAGCTGTCACAGAGGAAATATGTATTGTTTCGCTGACAAGGCAATGAGCAGCCGTGAGAACTGTACGGTCGTCTAACAGACTGCCTCCGCAAACATGAGTCCCATTCTCATTACGAAGACTGACAATGAATTTGATTTCACCATCCGCAACATCTTCTCCGCCTACTATCCTCTTATCAATAGTTGCTGCTGCAGCCAAAGTAGCAGAACACGTGGCGGCTAGTGCAATAGCAGGAATGCGCACCATTGTAAAGATGGGGAGCTGGCAGTAGGTTGCTAAAGATGGGCAAAATATGACTGTGTATGATGGCGAAGGCTGTTTGCTGTTGGCAGATGGTACGGCAATAATTAGATTGGATACCTTGCTGTATTTATAGAGAATAAAAGAAGCTGGCAAGGCCAGACTCGCAAAGAAAACAACCCAAAGTAAAACAACTCATGAGCATAATCAATAATCTCCCAGATCCTTGGGCCGATATCAAATCCTAGCGCATCTTATAGACACTGCGAAGCATTGTGGGTACTAGTCACATGGGTCAACAACTAATCGGATGATGACGGTGGAACAGTACCTCATCTACTTCAAAATTATCAAGTGATAACTATACTAATACCCTAGCGAGTATATACGTATTATTTATACCACGCTTTACATTTGGTAATTTAGCTAATAAAGCTCTTTTTAATGAAAAGCAATACTTATTACTGAAATAAATTAACTAGTTAATTAATCAATTAATTAATTTTGTTCCATATAATATACACTTTCTTAGCATAACAAGACCCCAGGAATGGGGTTTCACTCTTGGCCTACTCGTACCACGCCCCCACCTTTCCGGGTCGCGACCTCTCAAGAGGGAGAGGTCAAAGAGTGAAGTCGGTGGGGGTGGCCTTTGAATACAACAATGCCAAGCCCTACCTCGTCTCATAACCCCCCAGGTGCCACCTCCATGACTCGTCACACAGCAGACCGAGTCAACCTCGGTGAAGAGAACAATATCAATATTGGGAACCTGGACATTGCTGCTAGTCATTGAGTCGCTGTATGCATAACTCTTAATCCTTTGCATAAATTAACAGCACAAAATCGACGCTCAATACTCCGTACCGATACGGATTTTTATTCCGCTCGGAGGGAAGTCCCCAGAGGGCCGAGGCAGAAAGGCTATTTACGGCTCAATAAATTCAATGTTGATACATGACATAGACGTACTCACATAACACCTCGAGCGCCCACACTTTCTCTTACACTGCATGGTTCCGTCTCGTCGCTTTTATTCCTTGACAGGCCTGCTTAAAGGCCAATTCCCCAAGTGTTCAGCGTCCTATTCCCAGCAGCTGAAGCACGATCTGCTAATACTGAGGCGGTTTTATTGTTAGTATAATTTCGTGTATCAGATCTACAATTCGGTGGTCGCTGGCCCCCGTCGCTGTTGCGATTCTGATCACCGCCTTCACGGCTCGCATGTCTGGTTTCCGCTTGTCATTGTTAGACAGTGCTTTCCCTCCTAAGAAACATTGAGAGGTTCTCTATCTTTTTCCCTTAACAGTCAAGTAAGATGTTCCGTTACGCTATCCACATTCTGCATTAAAATAGAAGTTATTCTAGTTTTTCTAGTGATTAACCACACTCGTATAAGCTTAAGTTTACTACCCTAACTCTGTGGAGAAAGCTATTAGGCCTTGCTATACCCGTTTCTAGTGAGACTAGAATATCTGATTCTTTTATGTTCAGTTGATCATATGATTCCCGCGTATGCTTTCCCGGTAATGCCGTGTTTACCTATTTTGAGTATTTGCTAACTCTATCCGGCAGTTACCTTACTCGTTATTAGGCTAAATTTAGCCAGTTATAGCTTCATGGATCTAGCTTAGTATGGTCATACGTCTGATGTCTCCTGGCATATTACTGCTCTCCTTGCTGCTGTCTTAGCGAGCGCTCTCAGTGTAAAAGCTTCGTCCTCTACTAGCACCCACATGGTGCACTAGCCCAATTATTGCCGTGGTCTTCGGATAACTTAAAATACCAATCGGTTACTTGTTATAACTGTTAGATCCCAGCGATGGAGCCCTGCAAGCATGCATTTAAGCGCCATCGCAATAGCTGCCGGTTCCGCCGCGGACGAATTCTATTCATCCCGTGTTTCAATGGTCATGCAGTAGCCAGGACCTCGCCGGGACTATTAATCGTAGTGTCACGTATAACATCTTCTATCCCCACCGTGTCACCTTATTATGAGAGGGTAGTAGCGATAATAATGCCTTTTACGTCGATTAGTTTCCTGTTGATTTTAATATTATTATAATAGTCGCCTATTACGGGTATACCATCACTCTAGGGTGGTATTGCATACCCGTGAAATTATCTCCAAGCGTTCCGTGTTAGTCTTTGCCATTAATATGACAATTTTCTGTCTTAGCAACACGAATCCTCGTTATATTTTAATCTCGCTAGTATATGCGTCTGCGGGAGTGTATAAACGTTAACCCAGAGCCTTATTGCCGCTTGGGTGTCTCGTTTCTGGACCGTTTGGAAACTAGCCTCTGCTTCGGCCACTAATTAGTGCACAATACGACATACTTCTATACATACGCAATATACACGCGAACCCAAGTACTTTATAACACACACAAATGCGTTATCGACGCGATGCTTCACACGCCAAAACGCGTCGACTGTCTTGCTCGTCTACTAGCCGTGCCATTTCTTCTATTAAGTAATAGCCTAAGCCCCTCTTTCGCGGTATGCTTCACTGGCGTCTCATCTCCTCGGCCTGAGTATGTCGCGAGGTTTGGATTTCGAGGCTGTGAATTCTGGGCCGGCATCCCACTAGACTCCAAGGGACTTGCGGATTTGGCTCGGGCTGGCTGGTCGAGACCGGCTGGGCCATGCATGGATCATGATGGATGCCTGGGTGAGCCGCCTCATAAAGGTCGCGCGACCGCCGCGCGACGCAACACCCAGCAACCAACTTTCACATTTCAGTTTTTCGAAATACCAACATGGCCCCAGCAATGGGCGGTCGGCGGGGAGGGGGATGGCAAGTTAAAAAACCGCTCGTCCGCCCATCCTTTGCTATCTCGATATCCTCTTTCTACCACCTAAGACCTTCCATCTCATATTACCCCCTGCGATATTTGCCTTTCGAAATCATGCCCGCTTCGCGACCGCAGCGACTGCGACAGGCCGACCCGGCCGCAGTTGCGGACCGTGCAAGATCCCGCGGCTGGAAAGCTGACAAACATGTCGAGAATGACAAGCTAAGGGACCTGAACCAATTCGATGACAAGGCCAAAGAGAAGCATGACCGGGTGCTGAACAAATATGCTATTAACTTTCCCAAGACTTACGTAGCTGGCATTGGGATAAAGCTGGACGCAGTGCCAACTTTGACATGTACAAGGATTTGCTACTTCAAGAAGGAACGCCAATGCCACCTATCCATGAGCTCAAAGATTTCTGGAGATTCTATAAAGATCAATCTGTTGAAAGACTCCGCGCACACCCTACATCGCTCACTCTTAAAGCGCGAGCAAGGGATTTCAAAGGCGGTTACATGCGTATTACCGGTAGTCTTCTCAACAACGAGGATACCAAGGAAATTAATCGTGTATGTGCTTTGCACACCAAAGCTCCGCTCTAGCTCTTACTGACTCTCTGCAGTGGATCAAATATGTTCTCCCTGGAGAGCAAGATGGCGGCGTTAAAGACATCATGATGCCAAAGTACAACTACAAACCTGTGGACTTGGATCGCCATCTTGACGCGCTATATACAAGAAGGTGCCTCGGAATAACTCACGAGAGGACTAGGTTCCAGTTTCATCTTATGATCCTCATGTTTACCTACAGCGGGGCTCGAAAAGGCGGCCTACTGACTGATGGAATAGAGTACAAGGCAAGTCACTGACGCCACGCATCGAAACGCTTCGGGGAACATTGCTAACCAAAGCCAACAGGACATCCACCTCGTCCTCAACAGAAGTGATAAAGGCCATCGTCACTTCATTTTCGGTCTTGATCAGCGAACGGTCAAGAACAACAAGGACCCGGAGAATAACAGGTAAGATTGCTTGACGCCCGGGCGTGTCCATCGCTTACAAGCGCAGGTTCGGTGTTACGGGCCGGGAGCACAGTATTCTACGGTACAATGCCGTTTTTCTACTGTTGCTACTTGCCATAGCGGATGACGTCCTTTATAAGGAGTATTTCAGCCAAATTCTTAAAAGGGAGCGGAGGTGGTCCCATTGAATGGAATAAAGCAGCCCTGAACATCCCAATCTGCAGATCAGTCGATCGGCAAGGAGTGGTACATGACACGAAGCCCATGACCGAGTGTGTCTTTTTGGGAATCTTCAAGAAGCTTTTCATGGCAGAGTACGCTTATTCACGCGCATCTATGCACATGATTAGACGTGAAATTGGTAAACAGCTGGATGCAGCTGGATGGTAAGCACCGTATTCCCAAAGTCTAGCTTCATGACTTGCTAATAGACAACCTTAGAGCGATATACGGAAGTGGAAAGATCCCAGCATCTCACCCAGGCTGAGGAAGCCGTGTTTGGTCAAAGCTATGTCGCGTTTGTTTCGTCTTGCGATGGTTTTGCCGCTTTCAGGCGTGAAAAGCCAGACCATACAGCTGTCGAATATTTTCAAGGTGTAAGTCAGTTCTGGCAGCCTGGGCTTCCTACCAGACTGCCTGCAGCATTAAAGGATCGGATAAACAAGCACCCCGACATTCTCGAGTTGAAGAAATCAGCTAAAGAACCAGGCATCAGCATTTCAAAAGAAAGAACTGTCCAGAAAAGTCTTAATGTTTTGAGAAGACAGCTTGAGAGAACGGCGCTAGAAGAGTATCGCGCCGAATGTTTGAAGGAGAAGCGTCGTGAAAGACTGCTGCATGGCAATGTCACGAGGCATGCGACGACGATGAGGATCCGCTCAATGACTTGATACCAGAGAAAGGTCGTCTCGCCGAGGCTATGATCTGTAAATCAGCGGCAGATTGTGTCAAGCAGCCTGATCTCATGCGAGACGCATTGATACCACTCACAGGCTCTGGAAGTGTGTATTACCGCCCACAAGAAGTACCAAAAGATGGGTCTGTCCATGTTGCTCGCTGAAAATGAACAGGTAAGCTCAAAGAAAGCTCATTCATGGCAGAATGCGACTAACTAATCCACAGTCTTGCTATTCGGAAGAGATCCCAGCATATTCATCGGTGCCGAAGACAGTCAACTGCAGAGACATTGGGTGTGCGCCAGTCGGATCTCACGTTCTGTTTCTTTTGCATGGCGTTCTATAAAAATGGCGACTGGCAAGACGATTGCCAAAACCACCTCTCACGCCTCAAATACTGCTGCTCAATCACCTACCGACATAGTTTGTTACGCCCTGCATTCTGCACGCTTTGCAAACAAAGTGAGGAAATTTCGCCCACTGATCGGCTGCAGTATTGGCACAGGGATGCTGATGCCATTCGTCACATCGAACAAGTCCACGGACGGGACTGGTTTTGTGCCGAATGCAACTTTTCGTCCGATAGTAAGCAGTCGGGTCTATACCATCTTCATGACGCACATGGCTACAACATCCCCAACACCACATCAGTGCGAACACAGGTGATAGACACAGAATTTGACTCAAAAGCCCACGCATCAGAGGTGAAATCTAACGTGCTACCTTGTGGCAACATTTTTGAGTCGCTTGAAGAGTCAAGTCTCGATTGGGCGTCTTCCTCACGATCGCCAGAATCAAGTTACTCGACCATTACCCAGAAACTTACCTCACCACACCAAGCACGATGCTAGATTCTCAGTTCTTAGCTCGTGGCGGTGATTATAGCGATACCTGCACTGAAACCTTCTCTGGAGACTTTTACGAGTTGTCAGAGAGCGACACCGCTTCATTTTGGAAGGAAAGCCCGATCTTGAACCTCTGGATGAGCTAATGTCCAAGTACATGGAGTTCCCACCAGATACGACACAACCGGGTATGGGGAAAGTGCTTCCAGCTGTGCCGTCGAAAACCTGTGAGGCGGTCGACGTAACCAAGAACGAGGAGGATTTTTCTCTCTCTATAGCACATCTGACTGATGATCAACATCAGTCAAAACATCTCGGCTCAAACGCCCATTCCGACTCTTCAACATGGCTGGACACATCTCTATTGCAGCCGTTGCCGGCTACTCAAGCTTCGGAGCAAGACTTTCCAAAGCTAAGCACTGCCCGCGGCGTGGTAGAATTAGCAATGCCACGGTTGAAGCATGAGGAAAGTAAGGCTGTTGCTCGGCCAACGAGCCGAATAGGCCCGGAATCCCAAATATAATTGACATCAAGCGACACACGACTGCAAAATCGAAAGCCCAACCGGTTGGTGAGAATTAAATTACGGCCGTCATCATCCTCCAATGTCAAAGTAACAAAAGACGAATTAGCCGATCCATCAACCCCAGCTCCGACTCCCCAGGAGGAAGACGTATCTCTCACTAACAAATTGCATGAAATCACGGCGCCAGCGACCAGGTACAAATCATAGTAACACCAGAGCCTTTCTTGAAAATCCATTCAGACCATTTCGCCTTGAATCGCTATAATGCCATGCTCCCAGTACAATGTCCACCATACGCACCTATACAAACAGAAGGAGCAAACTTCCTACTTCTTACCTCTGCGCTTCTTCGCAGTGCCCGAATTTGTAAACGATGTGGCAGTTTCTTGTTTTGAAGTGCTGCATTGACTATTCTGTTCACTGTGAGGCGAAAGCAAGTCTGCATTTGATTGGATCAAATGGTGAATCGGCAGGTCCTGCGATAACCCGGTCGACGGCATTGACGGGTTATTAAAGTCCAGCTCAGACGGCAACTGGTCAATGGCCGAGCATAGCTTCTTGAAATGAGATGGCATCCATAACTCGTATACATTCTTGGTAAACCGATATGCTGTCCATTTTTCTTTGCCGTTTAATTCTGTAAAAAAGTATTCGCGAATGGGATGACGGTAGTACTTTGTGTCCTTCCCGTCAATCACGGCATAGTGGCCATAGATACGCACTGACTTATGATCGTGTGAGATGGAATATGCTAATATCTGTCGATGTACTTCATTTTCGCGTTTAACAGCGCGGAAGAGCTCGGTGACAGCTCGTACAGCTAGTGTCATGCTGTGGGCATTCTGTCGATCGGCCACATCCAGCGCAGCGGCGCCGCATTTCACTTCGCACGTTAAGAACGGGAAGTACATGTAATATGTCGCCATAAAAAAGGACTGATCTCCACCGATAAAGTCGCCAATGAAAGGCGAAAGTTTGGCTAGTTGGTTATCATTAAATGCCTCCCGTGTGAATCCGACAGAGTAATCAGGTTGGGGACGGGTTCCCGTTAACGGGATTGAGTTATTCCAGCCTTCGTTAACACTCTCTATTAATATGTTAAGGTGTTTAGCGCCGAACGTAGCGAGACTTTCTGCCGATGGAACTATTAGCCGGGAAATATCTTGGATAACCCGAGCCTCGTTTTTGTTGTGGATCTTTTGGCAAGCGGCTTCAAAAATATCATCTCGGAATAAAGAATCCGCTGGAATAGTCTGCTGGGCTATAAGAAGAGTTTTAAGAAGAGATTTACTTGAACTGATAATATCAAGACTAGACTTCACCATAAAACTGCTTTTAGTCCCCAGAAGAGTTTCATAGCGTGGGTCTTGGTAAGGAGCGCTCTTTTCTTCTCTCGGCCGCTGATCACTGGGCGTCGACGATAAAGCAGATAACGACTTTTTTCGGGCGAGTAAATGCTCCATTTTGGATTCGAAGTATTCTCGCGGCCACTCTCCTTCGCTTGCCCAAAACTCAATTGGATCAACTGGTTCGGAGTTCATGTCGTATTCAGCACCAACCTTAGTTAGAGTCTGCTGTGTATGAGAGAATCGAGCCGATCGTCGTGGATCCTGTGATAGTTAATTTCTAAGTTCACCTAAAGAACAAATAAAGGAGAACTATACCTTTAGAAATGATCTCTTCTTTCCAGAAGCTGGAAGCGATTGACCACACTCAAGGCTTTGTGGAGCCTGACCTAGATGGGATGTCGCCATGAGGAAGCGATTTGACTTTTGAATGCCTCTGGGTTGCTTGCCTGTCTGCCATCAGTCAAGGTGATGATGCTTTGGCGCTTCACGAAACACATACCCTGCTTTTTTGGCGCCGACGGTACGCGGCCCGTCTGGGCGGCCACCTGTGATCGAGTACGAGCCATGACGATGAAGAAGAAAACGAGTGGCGATGCTGTCAATTTATGCGACGTTGGCGACTTGACCCGCGCTGGGAGCCTAGACGATCACGGGACCCCACCCCCGCACTCCCATTTGGTGCCAGGGCCTGGCTGGCCCCATCAGGTGCGGCAGTGGTCTGGTTGGTATCTAGCCCCGTACCACCCTGAAATGTTGACAACCAAGTTGATCCCGTTTATCCTTATCCAATAGCTCATACCCGTCTCGTTCACCTTCCAGTCTAAAAAAAAACACCGTGTGTACCTGCGAACACATCGATGAAGCTATGGCGCAACTGGAGGTCTTCCGTGTGCTCGCCTGCATTGGTATTTGTGACCTTTGCATGGCCGTAAAACTCTTCCACTGCAAGTCCTTGCTCCATCCACTACCTGTTGGCAGCTGCTGGGTTCATCATAATAACAGGCATTCGAAGACGAAACCCGACACTCGACGAAACGAAATGGGCAGCGCAGTCTGCATCCCTGGCACGTCCGCTGAACGGCGCCTATAGGCAGCACCTCATTCGCAGTGCTCACAACCTGACGTAGCTTCACTTATGGTCAGGCCGTCCCCATTCCCCTCCCATTTGAGGCGCCAATGTGGAATATTAATCACTTCGGACCAAAAAGGGCGTCTATCCATCCAGAACCTGGGATGATACAAAGCGCTAAGCCACGTTTGAGGCGACCAATGTCAGTCTGGAAGGCTCAAATCGTCTACCCAAGCTGAAAAAGCGGATGGCTACCACAATACGCTGTTTTGCCGATCCGCAAAAGGATCTCATAACTCGTTCGACCCATCATCACCTTGTCACTAACCTTTGTTACACCTGGGCCTTGTCGGTGACCAAGGGTATCCTTCCGTTTCACCAACTCTTTTCTTCGTGGCAGAACACCAGCCAGGGGCTTACGCATTGCTGCCTTGGACAGCTCAAGCCTTTCCCCCTTGGCACACTTCGCCTTGGGGATCTGTAACCAAGACGTATAGACCCCTCATGACAAGTGTTTGGGCGAAGCTCACGATGACCGCAGGTAACCGAAACGTTTTCCGACCCTCGCCTATCCGGATCTCAACAGAGCAATAACCCGAGGATAGTAATGGATTCCCTCAGCATTATTGCATCCACAATTGCGCTCGTTCAAGCCACTTCTACGACATATAAGGTGATCCAACATCTCAGAGGCCTTCCGAATGAGTTTAATGAAGTGTATCGGAATTGGCAACACGATCGCTATCTGTCAAGTGCTACGGTCATGGCTGCATGCAGGCATTGTGGATGATGTCGATGCTATACTGCTGGAAAAAGCGGACGAAGACGAGGACGGGATAGGAGAATGGCTTAAGGGTTTGCAATTGCAGACGAGAAAGGAAGAGGCCGGGTGGGAGTAAGCTTGTCTTGACTGATAGGGTTCCAGGCTCTTGCTGTGGACCCGGTATAGTGTTTCGTCAACCGCTCAATTTGACGTCAATCAAACTCAATATAGGGTTGACATTGATCAATATAGAGTCGAGTGATACATGTGTGCTGAGAAAGTGACGCCCGTTTCCGCAGTCACGCGTCTCATATGGTCCGTCGCGGTCAGACCTTGGTGAGTTCGGAGCCGTGCCTCAGGTGATGCCGCCGCAAGTGATGGCGTCTGGTTCGGTAGATAAGGCTCACTATTCTAGGCGCCGAGTCCTATGACCTCTGCAGCCGCAGTAGATGGAAACCTCTTGGCAGGAAGCATCGTTCACCAAAGGCAATAGGCGGCTCGGGCGAGCGGCTCGGCCAGGGGGCGCAAAAGAAGGCTGAGCGCATGGGTTGTGGTCGGGAAGTGAGTTTCTCCAGGCCATAGGGACGCGGGAAGTTTGGGACGCAGCCAGCGGGCGGTCCATGTCTCAAGGCTGCATCAATGTGTGTAAGCTTGCCACACGCACTCCGCACTTGGAAATACACACGAGTCGACAACAACTTTGAATGTATCTTCACCCACAGTACATATCCAAGGCACCTTTGACTGCGTTTCGCACAGCGGTACAGCTCAACTTGGGCAAAATGCTCCTCCGGCCGTCATCCTCACTGTTCTCGTCTGTCGCGAGACAAAGTATAGTCACGAGACGCCCGTCGTTGGCCATAATCGACGACTACCTCAACACATCCGGCCCGCACTTTGCGCATATTCCGGCCTCAAGTCTGCAAGTGACGACATTCAACGACACCATCATCCCCGCCAATGAGACGGAAACCGCCCGCCTGGTCGATCGCCTGGAACCTTTCGAGCTCATTTCGACGGTGCGCGAGCGGACCGCATTCCCGGGTGCCCTGCTGCGCCGGCTGCCCAACCTGAAGCTCCTGTTGGCCACGGGCACGCAGTTTGAAGAGTTTGACCTCGCCGTGGCACGGGAGCTGGGAATCGCCGTCGTTGCGGCGCCAGGCCGCGGCCGAACCGACCAGCTTGCCGCATGTAGCACCCCGGCAGGCCACAACATCAAGAGAGGCCGCGCCCATCCGACCACGCAGCACACGTGGGCGCTCATCATGGCTCTCGCGCGCAACGTGGCCGCCGACGACTGTGCGTTAAAGGCCGGCCGCAATGCGTGGCAGAGCGGGCTCGCCATGGGCCTCACCGGCCTCACCCTGGGCGTCGTCGGGCTCGGTCGGCTGGGCGCTGCCGTGGCGCGCATCGGACACCTTGCCTGGGGGATGCGCGTGTTGTGCTGGAGTCATAACCTGACGCAGGAAAAGGCCGACGGCATGGCGGCCGAGACGGGCCTCTCGCCCGACGCGGGAACCGACGGCAGCAAGACTTTCCTCGCCGTCGCCAAGGAGGAGCTCTTTCGCGAGGCAGACGTCGTCAGCCTGCACTACGTTCTGAGCGCCCGCTCACGGGGCGTCGTCGGGGCCAGGGAACTCGAGCAGATGAAGCGCTCTGCGCTGCTGGTGAATACGTCTCGCGGTCCGCTGGTTGACTCGGCCGCGCTTCTCGACGCCATGGAGCGCGGGCGGCTGCGCGGCGCCGCATTGGACGTGTATGATGTCGAGCCGCTGCCCTTGGACAGCCCGTGGAGGAGAGCCAACTACTGGGGGACGGGCGGGCGTTCGCGGCTCGTCATGACGCCGCACATGGGATATGCCGACGAGGGTCTGATGAATGCGTGGTATGCCGAAACGGCCGAGAACGTCGAGCGCTGGCTCGAGGGCGAACAACTGTTGCATCGCATTGCTTGAATACAGTGGTGGGACTCACTCGCCATCTTCCTCCTACGCTGGCACTATCCTAGATCTCTAGTCTACCTGCGCCGTCTTGGCTTCCATATATTGACGAGTGCTCGCCCGGCGCTTGCTCTCCACCATTTCTCTTGAACTCCACGGCATTGGCCTGTACATGTTTATGTTTTGTCAGCTCTACGCTCGCCCTGCGTCTTTGTCTGCCAAGCGGACTCTCCGTTCCTCCCTCCATTTCGGTCCATATCTGGTCACGGCGAGAAGCATTGGGCTCAGCACAATCATGACCAGGCCCACAAGCGTATACGCCCATCCAGTCCCCATGGCACGGATCATGGGCTCTATCACGGCCGATCCTCCCGCCGCCATCAGGCACCTCGTCAAGTTGTTGGCAGCCGAGGCCGTCGAAGGCGAGTTCGGGTACAGGTCAACGAGCAGCAGGTTCATGCTGTTGTAGCAGGCAGTGAGGGACAGGGCCATGACAAAGGTGAGAGTCAGCATGGCGGCCATGTGCGCCTGCTTCTCGGCCGCCCAGCCGAAGCCCATGGTCGCCGCCGCGCCCACGTAGACGAGCGGCCAGACAATGTTGATCCGGGCCTTCTCGATGGGGAACTTGCTCAAGTCATCGCCGCGCTGCTTGTCGACCAGGAACCCGTTGGCGCGAGCGACCCGCGCATAGTTCCAGTCCTGGATATGGCCGTTGGCAATGATGGAGAGCGCTGCCCCGACTCCAAACGGGCTGCACAACTTGAATCAGCGCGTGCACAACTCTCCGTGAAGCCCCTCCTTGTACGGGGAACACTCACATGTAGCACAGTCCTATCTGCAGGGTGTCGACGTGGTACAGCTCCGACAACAGGTTGGACAAGTTGGCCGTGACGGTGTACCAGGACGCGTAGATGATGGCATTGTAGAGTAGAATGACGGCGCAATCCTTCTCCCCGATGATGAGCAGCGCCTTGAGCGGGTTTGGAAATCGGAAGCTGCGCCGTGGCTGTCGTTTCGGGGGTGCCGCGCCGCCGCCAGCCCGAGCTGCCCTTCGGCGAGCAAACTCGTTGAGCAGCGAGCGACTCCACCACGCAGTCGGCGGGATGGAGCCATTGCCAACCACTTGTCTGGCGGTTTCTGGAACGGCAATGGCAAAGACGACGAGATACACGCCGCCGCACTGTGGCTGTTAGCGTCGTGGAGCAATCGGAACCTGGGACGCCCAGGGACGCCAACGTACGATGGTGAGGAACCTGCGCGTTGGTCAGTGGCCGTGCAATATTCCCCATTGGCTACGTGTATTCGGTACCAAAATATAGATCTCCAGCCGAGGTATTGAGCAAGGACGCCTCCTAGAATCGGCCCTTGGGCGCAGTCAATACGTCAATACGGGAAACAATGGACTCGTCGCGGCTGCAAAGGGGAACCTTTACCAATTGCTGGTCCGAGCTACCCAAGTGGTCTAGTTAGCAGACGAAGCTGTATACATGGCGCAGGCGGCCGTGTGCGCGTACCATGATTCCACTTTGCGCAGCGCCCATGTACTTGCCACGCTCGGCCGTGGTAGATATGTCGGCGATGACGCCGCTGTTCAATGCGTATGTGCCGCCGGAGCCCGAGCTCTGTCATCGTGTCAGACATGGCCACCAAACGAAATGCGGTTGCGCGAGCGGACGCACCTGGAGACATCTCAGGACAAACAAGGCCGGGTACGAGGACTGGGTGGCCAAGCCGATATTTGCCGCAATATAGATGATGAATGAAATCAGATAAGCCGGACGGCGGCCTGCAATATCGGCGAGGTCGCCGTAAAAGGACGGCGCCAGGCCTTGGAAAATCAAGAATGCAGTCACCGTCAGGTTCATCAACGATGGCGACACGTTGAGAAAGCCGGCCAGGCTTGGGATGCTGGGGAGGTATGTGTTTGCAGACAGGGGCGAGAAGAAGCCGCCCAGCCCGGACATGAATACGATAAAGTGCTTCTGCCGCCGCGTGTATATCGAGTACAGAGCGTCGAGCTCTGCCGCGGGGATATGAGCTGCGCCGCCATCATCAGAGGAGCTGGACTTGTCGGGTGCAAGCGCCGCCTCCTCCTTGGGAGCGCTCATGGCAATATCTGCTTCTTGAAGCGACATTGCGTGACGGGAACTGCCTAACCTGGGGGCAATATCCTCTAGCCCGAGGAACAGTAGGAAAACCAAACACTGCAATGGAGAGGCAACTATATTTATCTCCTTCCCCCGCCGAGGGACAGAGTTTCCGACTTGAATTACATGGGCTTCCTTGAGTAGTAGATCCCGGCTTTGGGTGGGAGATGCGATACAAACACCGAGTGGACCAATCCACTTGTGTCGCTTCAGTGAGGTTTCTTACGAGGGGGGCTTAGTTTGGCGTGCGGGACAGTATGTGCACTAATAAGGCTAACTACGTAATTAGGAGCACATCTGACAATAGTAGAGGATGGGAAATCAGCCGAAGCGCTAGATGCGTGCCGTTGCTTTCCCCCTAACCCCTCACAAACGATGCTGACATTCTACGGAGTATTAATAATGTATTGTAACCTTGGGGAGTAATCTAGATGAATCACAGCGCAGACAGGGGGGTCCAACGCATTAACCCCTGTCAATCCGGGCAGAGTCCGAATAGTCGTTGCTCAACTGACTTTTACAAGAGCAATCGTCTCAACTGCGGAGCCACGAGCGGGTCCTATCCTCCTTGCAAGTCGGTTAGTAACCAATGGTATAAGCCGACAGACAACCAATCTAGAGGTGCTCGTCTCTGTTCTTCCAGTATTTTAAAAGCCCTGCTAAAGCTCAACTAGGGTTGCTTATCTTTGGGTCTATTGCTACGATGACTGCGTGAGATTCGGACCAGCGAACCGTCTCACATCATACGGCTGGGAGTATTGGAGAGTTTCAACGTCCTCCGCATGGCAGTCGGACGCCCAATCGCGGCTGGATTTTCCGCAGTCATCAATTAGCAATCGCAAGGTGGAGACGGGACGGCCCGCCAAAGCCTCTCAGTGGCCACTTGGCGACGCCATTCCGGGAGTAAGCCGAGCATACCATGTTCGGGCGCAATCTGACAGGATTCCGGGGTCAACTGGTCAATGGCACCCACCAACCGGCCGACATGGCCTCGGACAGATTTGTTGGCCAGTGGTTCATCCCCCAATGCCCCGATGAATAAATACCCTTGGTAGTGAGATTTGCAAATATTCCTCTATAGGGTGGTTAATTTTTAGGGTAATATGTTCTCCTAGCGGCGGCAATATTAATGAAAGTGCCACCCTAGTACTTCTGACCCAAACTGCGGTTGACCTCATCTAGATCGTATATACACAGCTGCTTTACCGGCGGGGCCATGGCAGATCCCAGACCTCTACCTGTATTTTCGCTTATGGCATCGACATGATCATGTCCAGTAACGCCATTACGATGAAATGTACGCAGGTCAGCGTCGCATCCGCATGACCCCGTGGGGGTTTGTGCAACAGACAATTTGGCTCAGTCCGTGTCTGCTTCAGGCCGCCCTTTCGGCGGAGCTAGCTTTAGTATACGCCGTGTGAGGTTTCCTTTTGGCTACCCCTCCATAATGTTGTCTGCCACGCGCAATCTAGGTAGTGATTTGCGTTCTCGTCTTACTTGCGTACACTATATGCCTGTACGTCGAGCAAGCAGAAAGCATAACCAGAGAGTTATATCACATCTCAGAAACTTGGCTGCCTCTGTAAAGCATGACCAACGGGTTGTCCTGGATGCTCCGGAGCTGCAGCGTTGTTTTCGCCTCACCCCGTTTCGCCTCCTCGCATCCATCTTCATGGAAAGTGCGTATTATTTTCTTGCTGTTTCAGTAGTTGACCGCGCCGATGCTTTCCATTATACACGCAGTGACACACAATGACACATGGAACTCGAGGGGCAGTGGGCTGTTTGCTGCTGTTGTGACGCGTTCTGCAATGGCTCGCAGTCGAATTGGCGTCATGGCACGATACGTTGCCGATCAATCACATCAGCATCAAGCAGCATTTGCCCAATCGCTCCAATGTAACATTCCCCCAAGCAGGCTGTGTCCTCTTCTCTTTGTGCTCATTATCTCACTTTCTAGCAATCAACAGATGCTCTGGTCCGAGAGCGCCTGAGTGTGGTTGCCTACACCACCTCTACTCTCAACCCTGTGAGTATTTAGAGAGGACCAACGGCCTATTTTCCTTTTTGTCAGCTATATACCAAGCTTGCGTCGCGAAGCAGTCACTTGCGGGAAGTCTCTCATTACCCTTTGGCTCCGTAACTACTGTATAATTCCCATACTCGTTGCCCACGATGCGGTCCGTCACTACTCGCCTATCATCAGCCATCAGGAGCAGTCTATGTTCCGCAGGCGTGGCCACAAGGCGAGGCCAGGCCACTCTAGCGACTGAGAAGCCTCAAGCTACCGCGCAAAGTACCACCCTGGGATGGATGAAGAGCAAGCCCTTTGAGCATGCGCCGTGGAAGAAGCCCAACGGGACGAGAGGAACTATCCGTTTCCTCGGCGCAACCAAGGATGGCAAGCCCGCCTTTCTCAATTTCAAAAAGGGCGAGGAGCATGAGACCAATTTCGGGCCCAGCCTCGAGAAGGTGGTTGACATCACCGATTTGCGTGACTTTGAGCCACGGACTACTCTTGGTATTGAAGGCGTCGAGTGGGTTCACGCCCCGACGGCACTGTCCGAAGACAAACTACTCGCTCCCGATAAGAACGACGTCGAGGCATTCGTTCGTGGGCCATACTTTGATGAGTGTGCGCAGCTGGTAAAGGAGAGGACCGGAGCAGTCGAGGCAGTTCCGTACAACTTTCGCCATCGCCGAATCGAACTGGTAAGACGCTTCCCTCTTTTGGTTTTTATCACATTTCAAGACCAATTTTCCCCTTCGTCACTCGATTCATGACTCTTACTGTAAAGGGCAGACAACCAACCTCCATGACCCATACAATTTCTCGAGCAAGCCGCTTCCCAACTTCCACATGGACAACGACGCCGAAACTGCCAAGGTTAACCTGCGCCGCGTTCTAGGCGAGGAACAGGCCGCCCGCTGGCTCGGCAAGCGTTGGGGAATCGTCAATGTGTGGCGCCCAGTCGGCGACGTAGTGAGGCAGTGGCCGCTTGCGCTCGTCGACTCACGCACCGTGGTATATGGCCGTGACACGGAGCCCATCTACACACTGAACAACTACAAGACGCACTTCACGGCCCTCCGGCCGCAATCCCATTTCACCTTCTACTACGTGAGCAACTTGGCTCCCGATGAGGCTCTCTTGTTTGTTGACTACGACTCGGCACACGAGGGCAAGGACACCGTCGTGGGAATGGCACATGGTGCTTTTCAAGACCATAACGCCCCTGAAAAGATCCCCAGGCGCCGGTCCATCGAGGTGCGGTGCTTGGTGTTGTACAATGATTAGACTGTTTGGATGTCCCTGGTCTCGTGAATGCGGGCTCCTTAGCACCTGCAAAATAGATATATGGTCTACGGCTCTCGGCTTTGATGTGGAAATGGAAACGAGTGAAGCGTTTTTTTTGCGTGCTATGGTTAAGCTTGATGATTACCTTCTTTGCTAACGTGCCGGTGATTACTTGGGTTGTCTCTATTTTGGGTTTGAGTAGCCATAGTTAATAAGTTCCTAATAGCGCTTCTTCTATGAGTAAAGTATAGGGTTAGAGCGTGTTACATACCAGAAATCATTACGATGCAATTGCTAGAGGGGCCTGCTTCTTCGACTTGAGTGTTGTTTTTTCGAGTCACCCCGCGGCAGCATGAGGCAGGCACGAAATATCGGTCGGCACGACGGCCCAATAGGTTAAGAGGGTTTACTAAGTGATCAGTGAGCCCAGGTGAACATATAGGACGATGTAATCGTAGCTCGCTGATGCTTCAGGGAACTCACAGTGAACTGCGAGTAAGTGGGCCTCGGTCAAGTTGACCGTTTCTGACTTCCTTTTAGACCCATATCTTGATCAACTTGCTGGTTTCTCCAAACCCGGATCGTCATTTGCTTCCTGTGAAAGGCACGATACTAGGAAGGCATTTGGACGAGTATTTTCGACCTGGCTAGTTGCCGACTGTACTTGCCGCTCCCTAGAAAATAAGCTACCACAAATCTCTTGCTGCCCCGTGGGCTGAAAGGTCGGTGCAGCTAGCTGCGGCTATCAAAAATGGTTATGTTTATGCGAGATCTGCTCAGTCTATGCAAAGAAACAATTATTAACCATATGGGGATTTGATATCTAGTAGTTATATGTCCCTTAGATAGCTCAAGCCAAGACCAAATCTACTTTTCAATCGATCGAAGTTAGCCACTCCGCGATGTAATAACATTTCGAGAATTCCAAGGAGCCATTTTGATTTCACTAAACAGAAATGACGTAACAGCTTATGAAGCTAGACTCGGGCTATGTCACACGGTTACACGAGGCCTATGATCACGGGACCTAGGGTAGAAGGCCCTCACCGACTTCTCGTACTTCTAGAGACCTTCGGTCCCTCGAGGCCTTGAGGAAAACCAAAGACCTTTGAAATCAAAAACTGTTATTAGATGAATAGAGCTATTGCCCCAAGCCCTCCTTGAGCTCTTTTCACGGGATAGTAGTGGGAGCGACTCGTTGCCAAGCTTACCTCAATTGTAGAAAGGAAATGAAATAGTCGCCCTCTCGGTATGGTATGCTACGGTACAGCGTTTATTCAATTAATAACACAGTAAAATCTTGAACTTCCATGAGGCCAATATAGAAACTACGTTGTATCTGCAGTAAATACAAAGCAAAGAAATATAAATAACACAAATAATAAAGATAGGATAATTAGCTTATCAAGGTAAGCTAAGAGAAGACTCTATATGCAATGTATAGTTATAATATAACGAAGCCTGGCGGCGGCCGGTCTAACAAACACTACCAAAGACACCCCACTGTGACAACATCTAGGTGTGCGTACATTTCGGCTCAGGAAAAGCAGGAAGAAGCTCAGATAACGCTTAGGAATGACTTGGTGAGGACTCGGGAAGCTCACTGTTGCTCAGTGGGCAACAGGCGATTAGCGCCTGAGCTGATGTGGGTAAAAGCGGCAGTGAAATGCGTCTTGATAAACGTTCAGTTACGCCTTGTGGCAAGGGCTCCAAGAGGGCTTGGACTCTTGGAGTCAATAGCTCAACTCATCTAGCCACCGTCTTTGGCATTCAGGGTCCTTGGTTTTCTAAGGCCTCGAGGGACCAGTGGTCTCTATATATACCGGAAGTCCTTGAGCGTCAGAGCCCTGAGGCAGCCCTGGCCCGAGGTCCGACCTCGGTTCTCGTGATACCTTGATTGTTCTTGTGTAACCGTTGTCGGCCCGACGCCTCTATTATGGCCTAACCGTGTGACGTTCAGTTGCATCTGGGGCACAATTTCATTTTTTTTGGTGCTACACCACATGTAGTGTTCTCTGTATCTTACCAAGTTCATTGCAAGGAAGCATCAGTTATTCAATTAGGACGCAGAATGTTCATTCCCACCAAGACAATATTCACTTTAAGACCCCAAGTGACACCCATTCGAGCTTTCATGTAGAATGCTATCAGAGGAAGATATCATGCGGTTGAATGATACCTTGCAGTCCGTACTAAAATCAGCATCGGAAACACTGACGAAACTTTGCTTGCCTCCGTCATCCGTCGAGAGAATCATCAAGGTTGGCGCCATGATAACAGGGTATCCCTACCAGTACTAAAGTTTAGTATAGGCCATTGAATACAATTCTACAGGCGGCAAGCTTATTCGGGCTCATGCAGTTGTCGCTTCTGCCCAAGGGCTACTCGAAAGACCCCTGACCTCGAGCAAATTCCACGACTTGAGCACTCTTGGGTGGCTCACGGAAATATGGCTTGGTTACCTCCTCGTATTAGACGACATCATTGATGCGTCAACTATAAGGCGGAAAAAGACATGCTGGTATAAGCGGCCAGATGTTGGACTAGCTGCGATGAATGACGCCTGCATTATGAACTCGGTGGTCTTTGTTCTTCTGCGGGAATTGTTTGCGAATCATCCTTGCTACACCCATTTCGGGAACTCTTTCGTGAATCCAGTTTTCTAACAGAAATCGGTCAAGATTGCGACAATTCAGCATCCCGATGTCTCGATCCGGCAGAGTGGACCATGGACACCTACGATACCATAGCGAGATACAAGACTGCTGTCGGGATCTACTATCATCACTTTGTCCTGTCGCTCTATTATCTGAATATGGCGACCCCCAGCAATATTTCACTCTCGAAAGACGCTCTACTTCCCATGGGAACATTATACCAAATCCAGAACGACTACCTTGATATTTTTGGACACGCAGAGAAGAAAGGGAAGGAGAGTACCGACATCAAAGAGAACAAGTGTTCCTAGGTCATTATTCAGGCCCTGAACATGTGCAACGAAGAGGAGCGCGTCTACCTCCGAGAATACTACGGTAAGGATGACGAGGAGACTGTACGCAATATTCAAAAGATTTTCAACTCACTATCGTTGACTTCGGCATACGAGATGGAAAAAAGAGTTCAAGAGCTGCGCGGTATGATTGCTGAAGTCGATGATGCGGAGGGTCTTCGGAAGCGAGTTTTTGATGTATTTCTCGATTCCTTGTATCGGAAGCATCGTTCTTGAGCCACAGATACTGCTCACTTCTTTTTCACCATGTTGTGCGCGATCCATTACTGCAAAAGTTTAGTTTTCTCTCTTTGACGACCTCTGTTCTCTTCAACTTTCTCTTTCCACTGCATCTTTGCTCTTTTTCGGTTTGATATGCTTTGAGCTCAATTATCCATATTTTTTTGAAAAAATTTCATATATAATATTTTCGTAAATCTATTTATAGCTTAGGCTATGACGAGATAGCTTTGACCGGTGCGCCGCGATACATCACTAATCTTGCTAGCTTTTACCGCATCGCGATGCGTGTATTTACGGTGTATGAAGCGGTAAATAACGGCTCCACGGCTTGGTTACGGCCAGGCACACTATGTTACTTTCGCTGGGCCTTAGCTGATACAGTGATTACAGCAGTATTTGGCCAGGATAAATCAAAAACTTAATAATAGACTATTATCCCAAAAGACCATGAGGACCCTGTTGGGCATGACCTGTTTTATTAATACGGCCAGCAAACTAATCGCTCATCACGCCCATTAGCCCTATAATAAGCATGTTAAGTGAGGCACGGCACAGCATGCCAGCGGTGCTTACGCTCTGCAGACATGTTTCCTCGGGCCCATTTGGGACCCCGATGATTGGAAAGGAGGAGTCATAAAAGGAACATGTTGGTCCAACCAAATCCCTGAGTTATTTCATGGGATAACGAAGGCCAACCGCTCCAAAAGTTCTCTGCTACCAGGCATGTCTCCAGCATGTCATCTACTGGAGAGCAGGTCATCTGCAACTTATTGAACGCGAATCCCGCATGCCGTGCGACAACCATTCGGAACCATGACTCATTCGAACCCAGGGATTAGCCGTATCTTCTCGGCTTCCTCTTGGTCGGAAACAAAGCACGTGATTTTGTTGTCCGCGTAGTAATCTATCCTCGACTTCTTGCTTCTAATCTGGCTCATGACTAGATCCAGAAGAGCAGCATCGGAGCCTCCAAGCTGTCTTTCGACCCAAGCTTCATCGAGGTCCATGCCATCAACGAGCTGCTCGACTCCTATCATGGCTACATCATCCTTGGTATCCAAAAATCTCGTTGCCAAACCCTTGAGAAGAGGTGCTAGGCGAGGTAAATGCAGGTTGGTAATATCCTCCCGATTCAGCTCGATCTCTTTGCTGATGTGGATATTCCCTTCACTCATAGGCGGTACGAGGACATCCTCGATGGAGTCAAAGCCGAAGAAAGCGGCGTTGAATATGACAATGGTCTGCGGCGGGCACCAGCACGTGGTCCGTACCCGCGGGATATCACGCTTATACTCTGTGAAGTTGTTGAAGTCACCGCCCATTTCGCAAGAATTGAAGAGACCCGTGGAGCACAGGAGGTTGGCTGCTACCGAAGAGCTGGACTTGGGTACACATATCTCCAGATCCTGATTGTCATCAGTCATGCGAGAACGCGTCGAACAAACGGGGCGACTAACATGACAAACGCGGGGGACGTTGTAATAGTTCAGTGCCAGCTCACCCACAATGCACATTGCAATGCCGTGATGTTTCAGAATCAGGGCAGCGACTTTTATCGGCATTAAGTCCATCGTGACGAAATGCGACACAGATGTTTGGAGGAGGGAAACGCTTTGTAGCCTATGCTTGACCACATGCAGACTTGACCCCACCCATCGGAAAGCCCCTGGCCAATAGCCTGCCACCTTGAGCGCCTGGTACATAAAAGCATCTATTCCACGCCTGGCGGCCAGGTTATCGTCAAACCTCTTTCTGCCACGTCTCCCAGCCTACTAACGTACTATGAAAGCGTTTTTGAGAACTGTTCTCAAACGCCAAGGCCGCCTATTGCGTCCTCGAGTCCAGCTTCTCTCGGACTTGCATCTCGAGATCGGCCAACAGTACTTGTCCTACACATTCCCTGCAACGGCCCCATTTCTGCTCCTGGGAGGAGATATCGGACGGCTCATTGACTACGATGGATACTTGAAATTTCTCGAGGCGCAGGTGTCCCGGTATGAAAAGGTTTTTTTAGTGTTAGGAAACCACGAGTTCTATGGTCTAGACTATGACGCAGGGCTCAAAGAAGCGCGGCGTCTTGTGGAGGAACCGTCTCTTGCCGATACCCTCATTCTCCTGGACAAGGCCCGATGGGACGACCCGAACTCCGCACTGACAATTATTGGCTGCACACTCTGGTCCGCTATCCCAGAAGAAGTATCCGCTCTCATTGAGTCCAAGATCAATGACTTTAAGAAGATAGACGGATGGACTGCTCAGAAACACAACGAAATCCACGCCAGGGAGGCCGCATGGCTTCGCGAGCAAGTCGCTCAGGCAACTAAGGAGCAGAGCGCCAAAAGGCAGCTTCTGGTAGCGACACACCATGCGCCTTGCATGGAAGGCACTTCTCGGCCTGAAGATTCCAACAACGCCTGGACGCCCGCTTTCGCGACCGATCTCCTTGATCAAGAAGGCTGGGCTGGCATCAATACCTGGGCCTTTGGCCATACACATTACTCGACAGATTTGGTGCGGAACGGCGTCAGACTGGTGGCTAATCAGCGGGGATATGTACTGCCGGGCGGTACGACACAAAAGTTGGGAAACAAGATGCTGTCTAATTTTGACCCGGGAATGGCCATCGAGTTATAGCTTTGGGAATACCGTTTTTGGCCATTTTCTTTCTCAGCTGCGTATTTCACACACAACTTTACTAATCCGTGCGTGTGTTGCCATTGACGGGCTATAGACGATGCGCTTCATTTATGGCCAAGGTTTCCATATAGACGGTCAAGAATGTCATAAATCTTCGTCTGCCTTGTGCTTCGGAAGGACTGTCTAAACGCGCAAACATTGTTTAAATGGCAGCGGCTATCGTTATTTGACTAGTCTTAATGCTTATATAATCTCTCGCTCGAAGCACCAGTTGACGTATCTCAACATTCGTGGCCCGCTATTGTGACAAGGACTTGATATCAAGGGCTTGGAATGGAATGACCCTATTCAATAATAATCTTGTAGGACGACAAAGGTCCTTGGTTTTACAAGAGAAAGGAAGGGATCAGTGACTACCATAGTTATATGCATGAAAGAAACAGCTGTGCCGAAGGCTCCCAGCGGGTCATGTGTTCAGTCTGTGTAACCTCTAGGTCCTGTATCGGCGATGCCCCTTTATTGGGGGGTTATTGAGCTTTGACCTTGCGACAGCTATTGTACGTTAGTATATAAAAACGAATTCATCAATAGATATTCCACCATATGTAAACGCATCAAGTGTAATCCACTCTATAGCATTCACATCATTAATTCTCGGTATCTCAGGATTATAGCTTCGAGGTACCGTTTTGATAATCAGGCGGTAAGAACGCTTCTCTCCCGTCTCATCTTCAGTAGAGAGAATCATAGGGTAGAGTTTAAGTCCCTTAAGTTGGCCCCGGGGACTCTGAGCAAAGAGACCCAGAGCCAGCCCGTCAGCACCATGGCTAGCCCAATGTGTTACTAGAAGACCAGGTGTGCTAGCTTCCACTGCTATCACAAGCGAATAGTTTGTCTTGGGATCTGTAGGCGTACAGGTTCTAGAAAATTTCTGACCTGCCTGGCTCTTGGCCACGTCTCCAAGCACTGGCAGAAATTCTTGTGTAGTCGTCTCAGTGGCCATGGTGATAGCCAGAGGAGCATCAGACCTTGCGGAAAGTGCAGAAATGACAATATTAAAATCAGGCACGAGAATTGTAATCGCTCTGTAAAGCCCAATGCTACCGGACTGGGTATAGATATCGATGGACCGAACCACTTGTCGTGCCCGTGAGAGTTCGCAATATCTCCCACGGCGCCCCAACAGAGAGTGACCAAGATGCCGCGTGCGCATGCGGCTTCATCCAGCGACGAGTTTCCATCGACGAGCGCTGCCTTTTCCCCGGAACTGCTAGACTAAATTCGAATAAGTCGCGAGCAGAAGAAAATAAACCACCGGTGCTGTGGCATGTTAGTTGATGGGTTTTGTTTCAAGGAGTCGCATTTTGGGCGCCCACGATGCATCGTCCCCCATTTCTCGGAACCAGACCGAGTCACCTCCGGGCGCAATTCCAACCCCCCTCTCTTTTGGGCGGAAGGTTATGGATTTCTTGAGACCGAGTGGCTTTAATACAGAAGTCTGAAGAGCCTCATCAAATGACGATTTCGTCACGGCCCGGATAACATTGAGCAGACGAAATCCGGCATTGGCGTATGCGGCGATCGTATAAGGAAGGCTGACAGGATGTTTCAGATAACCCTTAAAGAAATCACCTCGAGAGCATGGAAGTTTGTTATATACGGAGTTTTTTTAGCAAAAGTTTAAGTTAGTCATAGCATAATTGCGCTATCTGTATCCAATTGGCTTTGGTCTCTAAGCCTTTCTCAAAACCAAACGCACTTGGTAAGGCACTATACTATAAGTGCTGTGTAGAACCGCATTATTTTATAGCCTCGTAGTGTGTACACTTTATCCTCAGTGTAACTTGGAGGTCAATTTTGGCCAGAGGCAAACATTTATTACTGTCTTATTATATATGGGGACAATGTACGATTTGTCTACGAATAAGGCTGATTTGGACGACATTGGCATTGCCAGCCGGCCTGGGGTAGCTGTTGGACGAAGTAGCATATCAAGAACGCAAATTTTGTTGATTATTATCGATGAAGTGAATAGAAAAAGCTATGCAAAAGTACATGCTGCAGCAATTAGAGACGCAAAGTAGTCCCAGTTAAGTCGGGTCGACCATTAACTTAACATGATTCGTCCTCGTGTTTGCCCTCATATAGCCAGGCATGGGCCAAACCATGAGGTAATTCAGTGTCGGGTTCCTTTAACCTTGTAACATCCCGCTTCCTCTTGAAACATTCCTATTCAATATGCAGCGAGCAAATGTCAGCGTTGATTTCGGACCGAACTTGTCATTAGTTTACGTCCAAATCGCGTATGGATAAGAGAACAACCATTGATAACAGTCTCACTTCCAAAGACTTGTGAATCGACCACAAGTAAGGGCCAAAGACGGGCGGCAAGACTAGGAGAAGTCTTCCTGTTGAGAATAAACTGGGATAAGGGTTCGATTCTAACGAGTCCAGAAGCCGGGGAACATGGCGCCTTTATAATCAGAATTCTACGAGCTTGGTGTGTAGCAGACGAGCTCACCGGAGCCTACCGGAGTCTTGAAATAGGCAGAACCAACTTCCTTACGTTCATTCCATACCACTCCGTGGCAATTCGTCGGATTGTTGCGGCCTCTATTCAGTGTTCGGCGGCACTCATCCAACATTGCAGTCCAAGAGATACTTTAATTTATACTACAGCACTCATCTTACATTCAGGTTTCTTGTATTATCGACAGATAGTGGTCGCAAATGACCATGTGCTGAATATGAGACACATTAACCCGGGCTAATAATTCATCGCCTCTGGGTAACAGAGCACCTATGTACTTTTTTATCTACGTTGGCGGCAGCTTTAGTGGTTGTGAAGAATGCGGTGACTTGAGCTAGCAGCATCAATAGGAGTCCAGTGGCTGGCTAGACTCAAAAATCAATGATGGCATTGGCCTGTTGACAGCTTTGACTGGTCAGGAAATCATAAAGAAGCTATTGACCATGGTGGCGTCAGCAGTCCTTCTGCCGATTGGAGGTTCTCGGAAATATTTGAACGTGTTGACCACCCCACCTCTCCTGAAACCCTGCGAAACCTCGATCTATCATTTCGTGTGCTTGTCAGCCTCAACATTCTCCAAACTCGCAATAAAAAAACAGGAAGACTCGCAGTTCCCTGCGGCAACTTCGAGCGCCGACCTCAGCGACCAAATTGCAGCTGTAAGACCCAAACTAACAGGGCTACGGATGCCTTCAAGCTACCCGGTCTGAGCCTCTACTTAGGATCCAAGTTTCGAAGACGATGGCAATGATTCGGCTCTGGGCGAGGATGTGTACGCGCTCTGCTTTATCTGAAGAACTGCAAATATTGACCCGCGTTCGCAGTGCCCTTTCAACATCCTCCATCGCCTCCACCATTCTCGAGTATCGCAAGCTACATGGACGGACGTACCATAACTTCAAGGACGTTGAATATTGGTAATGACTGACCCTTAGCCACCTTGCATCGTGAGTAACAAAGGAGGAAGCGTCTGACGAGAAGAACAGGGGACCTAATGACGAGCAGCAGAACGACGGCCTTGATCTGAAGTATGTTCCGGCTCTCGGGGGTATTTCGAGTCTTGATACTAAAAATAACATCACGGTAACACATGATCAGCCACCACAAGTTATATCTCGCGTTTGACAACAAACTCTTCTTCGCGCCACTGCGAAACCCGCAAAAGGTTCTTGATGTCGGCACCGGAACGGGCATTTGGGCCATGTACGACAACCACGTTTGTCATGGTAGTCGCCATGTCTACACTGAATCTGTTACTAACCTCGCAACCAGTGATTTCGCAACCGAGTTCCCTGAAGCAGAAGTAATTGGGACTGATCTCTCGCCGACGCTACCCAATTGGGTGCCACCAAACTGCATATTTGAGCTGGACGATGCCTCGCAGGACTGGACATTCCCAGACAATACATTCGACTACATACATATCCGGTTCATGGCAGGATGCTTTAAAGACTGGACGAAGCTGTACAGCGAATGCTTTCGGTGTCTCAAGCCCGGCGGCTGGCTGGAGCACCAAGAATGCGACTTCCGGGTCGTATCAGACGACGGGTCCATCCCGCCGGATAACGCCTTCAACGAGGCGGCAAGTCTGTTTGCCGAGACGGGCAGGAGGTCCGGCCATACGACTGAGGTTATCAACGACGATAATTGGTTCAAGTGGATGGAGGAGGCTGGGTTCCGCGAGGTTCAGAAAAAAACCATCAAGACACCCATGGGCGAGTGGCCGGCTGACAAGAAGTGGAAAGAGGTAGGGCTATTCAATAGGATAACTACAGAGACGGCGCTAGAAGGCTACTTTCTCTACAAGCTGACCAAGGTCATGGGTTGGGAGTATGCAGAGGTGCAGTCGTGGCTGGCAAGAGTCCGAGAGGCGTTGAGGAATAAGGCTTACCATGGTTATTCTACGTGGTGAGTGTGTTTGCCAAAGAGCCACATTTGGCCCGATCGCTGACAAGGGGAAAGGGGTGTGGCATGGGTTCAGAAGCCAAAGGCGTGACAGATTGATCGCGGATCGGGGGCCGTGGCATGATGTGGGTAGAGTAAGCCACTAGTGAAATGCGCGCGACGGTTTCGGTGAGGAAACCTCAAGGTTTATGTAGTCTGTACATGATGCAAAAAAAAAAAAGAGAATTGCTGTATGATTACCCCTTTTCTGATTGGGGAGAACGCATGTAAGGATTATAAATTGCCATTTTACATCCGCGCGTCTAGGCGGCTTTTTGCGCCTAATTAGACCGGTCCAGCTCGGATCATTAGACTCCGCAAACCCGATCTTTTTTGTCGCTGAGCATCCAAACCAGCGGACCCTCCTTCATCTTATTCAACCACCGCCTCGAAAATGGGAGCAAGACGCCTCCTTCATTCCTTTCCAATGCTACCGTCGCGATTAGCTCTAGGATTCTCACATGCAATATCGCGCCCAATGTTAAAGTTTTCACAATCATTTTCCAAATCCTCTCAGTCATCGCCTCGCAAATTTCCGTCCACCGGATTCGATTTGATCAATCCATCTGAAAAAGTTGAGGAAGAGCAACTTCCTTTTTACAAGAAAGATGAATACTACCCCATGAAGATCGGCGATGTGGTCTGTGGCCATTACCAGGTAGTTGCAAAGCTTGGTTATGGCACAACCTCGACCGTGTGGCTTTCGCGTAATTTAAGGTGATATCATCTGCCCCTATCCATACCCGATGGCGAGACATGTGTTCTGACTCTTTTTATTCCCAACTTAGAAATCAAGAATACTGGGTTTTGAAAGTTCATATCAATACTTTAAAGTATAATCACGAATCGATTGTCTATCAGTACTTGGCGAACCATACCGAGGATCACCCCGGCCGGAAACATGTTCGAGAATTCCACGAATCATTTAGTCTCAAGGGCCCAAATGGTGATCATGAAGTCTTTATAATGGCACCTCTAGGTATGAGTCTGAGGAGTCTACAGGAGATTCAGATAGGTGGTGTTTTCCACGAGCAGCTCGTCATTGGTGCCCTCGCGCAAGTCTTTCTTGCGTTAGACTTTCTCCACGAAGCGGGTGTGATCCATACAGGTACGTGGAAAGTCACCATGATTAGATCAAATCACGTAGGGGTACGCAGCTAATTTGGCGAATGATTAGATGTGCACTCTGATAATCTACTTATTGGTATTGTGGACAAGTCAGTTTTTGCTACGGTGGAAGAAAACGAGATTCAGAAGCCGTCGCCCCGTAAGGTTATTGGCGACACCGTTATTCAGGTCTCTCAATACATGCTAGGAGGCAAAGGTCCGCTTATTCTCTGCGACTTGGGACAAGCCAGAATTGGTACCGAACAACGTGGTAACGCCATGCCTGTACCTTATCGGGCCCCCGAAGTGATTCTTAATCTGCCATGGGGAAGTAGCGTAGATGCTTGGAGTACTGGTCTTCTGGTATGGCTCAACATTTCTTCAACCCCGCGTTCTTTATCTAATTGACCACGTGTCTCTATCCAGGCTTGGGATCTCCTCAAAGGAGAGAGTCTCTTCAAGGTGTACGACCACGAGTCTCGGGAGCTAAACGATGCACACCATCTTGCAGCTATTACGGCGCTTATTGGTCCTCCACCCCCAGAATTGCTGCTTAAAAGTGAAGAGTCACGAAAATACTGGCACGAAGACGGTGGGTACCTGCTCTAAGACCTTGCTTTCGACGTGCTTATTTCCATGGACGCTTGCTAACACAAGCTCTCCCGTATCAGGTGGATGGAAAGGGCCCGTCCCTTTACCGCCAAAAAGAGATTTTGAGTCTCTCGCTAAAGACATGACAGTAGTGGACAGGGAAAATTTTGTCAGCTTCATGGAGTGTTTTATCGCATGGCTCCCCAGCGATAGACTTACATGCCTGCAAGGCCACTTTCACCCGTGGCTGAAAACCAAGCGGAACCCGAACCCGGGTGCGACGTGAACTTTACTCCATGTTCCTTCTGCGCCGTAAGACATATTCTGTTTCTTACTGTTGTGGTATCATAATGAATTTTTAGGCGTTGGTGAATGCGTGCTGTGTATAAAGGCTCAGAAAGCGGTCCAATGTTCCAACGCCATCGATCGAATGTATGCCGTGACGACAAGTGTGTGACCGGTAAATATGCACTACTACGTGTCCGATTGATAATTTTGACCTGCAATCGATAGACATCTGTGTTCATCCCAAGGCTGCAGCCGTCTACGCCGTCATAGCTTCGCAGGGCGGTGTGGTCGAATGCGCACTTTGTAAAGAAATATTTCTTAGCATCTTAAGGTCTAGGAGTGATAATACTGACGGAAAAACGTGAAGAGCAACTTCAAGAATGCGAAAAAGGCCACTTCAAGACCGAAAGACTCAGGAACAAACCTCAGCTCCTAGCGCAAAGAAGGATTCAGACGGGAACAGAATTGCACAAGAGCGCTTCATATGCGAGATTGGGTTCAACGCAGTATGTATAAATACTAGGCGTATGTTGAAAGCTTTGTGGAATTATCACCCTGACAGGCCAGAAAATATGGGCGCTTCGCTCCTGGGGTTTGACCAGCATGCGACTGCGATACTGACGTTATAATATAAACTTGCAATCAATTTCTGGCCACTTACGTCACACGCATCCCGCGGCACAAAATGTGCAGCCAGTTTGCATCCGAGTCGTGCGAACGGTACAAACGTGGAAGTCAACTGGCCACAGATATAAACAAACTGGGACATATTCCACCCGCTTGGCACCAAGATACTGAAGCTAGCACGGTATTTACGGAATGCATAAAGTCAGATATTGGATATGGATTAGGTAGGTGCCAGGCTATTGCAATGCTGACGCCAGGAAACGCTACTCACATTCACGATCTACCAGTTATAAAGGCATTTCGGTGAGGAGATATAAAGGTATGTATTGTAGCCCCGTTGCTCCTCATAGGCTACCTAAGTATAGTGATACACACAAAAAGGGAGGGAAAAAGTGCCCAGCCTTGCTATCGTTGTAAATATTGTTCAAAACTTGATCACAGCCTCTTTCTCGCTGTTCAGTAACAGCCGCGTCTGTCCAGAGGTATGCCTAATCACGATACCGCCGTGATGACGCACTCGCTTAATCACACTTTCCTCTCCATTTTCCACAGCTTCTGACAGCCGCATCCCACCAGAGTCCTCGATATTAGCGCCGCGATCAATCAGCAGCTTGACTGTAGATTCGCATCCATATCCGGCAGCCCTCCACAACGGCGTCTCGCCGTACTCATGCTCGGCCTCGATTATAGCCCCGTTGTCGAGTAAAAGCTCAGTCATGCCTTCGCATTCCGCTTGAACTACTATCCGTAATAATAAAGCATCTCTTAATGCGGGTGCTTTGGTGACATTGATGGCTTGTTTATGCCAGTCTCGGAGTAAGGCTTTATGACTCAATGTGGCATGTTTCTTCCAGGAGCTAGATAAATATTCCAAAACCGAATATAGTGAGAACTCACCTAGGAGGTCGCTAGTGTCCTTGAGAATCACTAGCCTAGTCTTTCTTTACGCATAATTGACACATCGTGCAATCAAGCTACCGTGGTTGAGCTCGTTTGCGCTCAAGTACATCCAGCATACCTTGAAAATCAAGACATTCGCCTTGTCCACATTCGTATATGAGTTACCACGAATTAACTGTATGCTCGTCTACCAGGATGTCTTTGACTGACTGATGATAGAAGCTGAGGGCTGCATCATCTCCACCGCCTAGATGGAGGATCGAGCTGCAGGCAGAGAATGTCGGCATAAAGCCGCATGTCCTCGCCACTTGATATTGAATTCGTCTTCCAAGTTGCATATGCGGCTAAGAGCTCGGTCTTCCTCAATGGACGCAAGGCCGCTACCGTTAAGCGCAAGAACTGAGCATTCTCTCTGTTTTCGACCGGAATTCTGTCCAGAATGGTAGCCTAGGTGTCGTCGAGTCCCTGAGGAAGGCAGTTCAGCTTCTTCTCTACTTCACTCATGAGGGTTGTTTTCAGCTCAACAACCATGAGAGATACCCAGAGAAAGGTGCTTCAAGCTTCGCTTTTCCAGGTTTCCATGACCTTTTGCTTTAGTTTCAATGGGTAGCTCTTTTTCTTCGCATGTTCGCTAACTTGGCCGTCGATATATTTGCCCAGATCGTGATTTATCTCGGCAAAGCCCATTTGTAATTGGGTTCCGACGTCCTGTAGCTCATCCTCGATATCATTTATCTGAAGTCTGCAGGTAACCAGGATCCTGATTTTTCCCGAGTCCTCAGTAGGAGATAGTTGAGAAATTGTTTGATCCAGTGAATCTTTACGAGTTAAACTTTCACACTCGTTTAGAGCATCAATAAGGATGAATACCTCGCCTGCACGCTTATCTAGGACCATGTCTTATAGGACCCGCCGGAGAGCAAAAATATCACTAAAAAGATTCTCAGAAACACGGCTATCCTCGTGCTTCTCAAAGTCTGGCCGCACATGTTGAATAGCTCGTTTCTTTGTAGTAAGAGCTGCCACACACGGCGTCGCAGTATTGCGGTTAGTGTCTTTCGCTCCTGGTCCTTATCGTCACAGAAAAAGTGGATAAACGCCCCCAGGGGATTCTTTTCGATCTTGCACTCCAAAAGTCTAACACGAAAGGTTACCATCATCGTCTTTCCGATGTCTGGGGAGCCGATAAGACGAAGAAGCTGTGAGTTCGTGCCGACAGCCCAAGCAGAGAATCCTCGTGTTTTAGAGTCCACTTGCAAATATTCTCTACCCGTTCACCTTTTTGGGCCTCGACCTCTGATAAGACATCCTCCGGATTTGTAACTCTCATCTTTTAGAGGTATCTTCGGAGGGTGTCGGATCTTGACCTTTCGTTTGTTGGAATAGGCTTCGGGTTTCGACAGCGATTGAGTTCCTCGTTAGTGCCTTCAGCCAGACGTTGTTTCCCAGGGTATATCAACTTGAAATAAGGGTCGTCGGCATCGTATAACTTTTGAATCCTGAGATGGTCGGTGTGTAGTGACATTTAGTGATGGCCGTCAATGCAGGCGCTGTCTTCGTCCAAGTCCTGCTTGGGCATTAGATCGCGTGCTAAGCAAGGACAAGGAATAGAACACCAACCAATGTTGTCGAGGGAAGGAAAGTCCCCAGGAGAGGCAATCCGGACGAATAGTCTGTCACGAGCTGTTCGAAGGCGCAGACGACTGGCACCGGTTCGGAAAAGAGCCAGCCAGAGAAGTCGCGTAGACGATCCGCGAGGGAATTTGAATGCCTCTCCAAGGCTTTAAGCAGCCCATTTTCAGAATCCAAGCCCGAAGGCATAAGATATGCAATGATTGCTCCCCATGCTGCGGCTGGGCTCAGTCGATGAGGTGTACCAAGAACACCACCCCAATAGTAGATCCGGCGGTGAAAAGATGCGGATACAATGGCCTATTCATAGTTGACAAGGTTTAGTGAGTGTAGGACCATTGGTGACGGTCACGTACCTGTTCGATAACATTGCCCCAAAAACTGTGCCCGACAAATATCGAGGGCCTGTCCATAGCCTGCACCAGAAAACGATTAGCAAGCTAGGTAGGTTATAAATCGCAGGAAAGTACCAGCCTTGTTCTTCTCGCGGTCGCTCCAGAGGCTATCTAGAAGGGTGTCCGAAATAGACGAGAGTTTCTGTTGAGCGGCGTCCCGGAACCATTTCGAGTCGTAATTGGAGGCAACAACTCGACATGGCTTGTCTAGCTTGACTGGAAGTAGTTCTTGAAGCCCGATAAAGGATTTTTTGGGGTATCCGGGACGGTTGGGGGCATTGTTCTTGGGTAGCCAGACCCAGGCGTAGTCTGGATTCGCGTCGAGCCCATGTAAAGCCACGATACTGAGCATAATGATCAGGCCTTTTATTCGCTCACTTGAGAGCGTTGACACACTCAATTTCGGGCGTGTCAGAGTCGTGCAAGATTTGAAATTCTGGCTCAGCCTCTGGCGGAAGGGACTTGTTTAATGCGTTGCCCTCATCTGGCGAAACGCTTTCCAGTGGCGTCAAGGTCGCCGAGCTCTCGCTGCCAGGAGTTTCGTCTGTCCATCTCGAAGTGTTATTGCTTTCACGATCTGACTCGAGTTTACCTCTTTCAGGCGGCGACCGACGCAGATAATAGAACGAGAATATGAGTACAACGGAAAGGACGTATTAGATGGAGGACATTGCCCTACCACCATGTTGTCGTGTAAAGCCTTGGTTGAGGGCCGAAAATGCAAATAAAGACATCTCAGAATCATGTGTCGTGGGGCTGCCGTGTGCTGTGTGCTCTGTGCCGTTCACAGTTCACAAAAGTCTCGCTTATCCGGCGACTTCGGTTTGCGGCTGATACGTAGCGAAGAAATTTCACGGTGATCTGTTTCCTTGTGAGTTCTCGAGCTAAAGGAGGTCCGTAACTCTGTGGCGAGGAGGAAAAGCCTCACGTACTTCATGGGGGGATGAGGGAAGGGCAAGAGGGCAAGGGACCAGGTGGCCAAACAGCGAGAAGCCAGCCATAGGGGGGATAGATACGTGGCAAAATATTAATTTGTGAGACGAGTTCGTCGTCCCCACATGGCGAACGGTGAAAAAAGGGCAGGTCAGCTGTCCCAGGTCGTTTCTCTTTAACCTTACTGAACGTGTATTCCCTCAGGTTCTGTCAGCCCGATGACAACACGGCAGTTACTTATATAGTGCTTCACGGCACCACACCCTATCAAAAAGGTCATTCTTACTGCCCACCATTTCACGGGATGTGTAGTCCAGTGGCATGATCGCCGTGGTGGTTTCATGAAATTCATGAATGGATTGACATGTTGTGCCCATGGGTTCACGAGCTCTACACTAGTGGCTCTTGCTTTTCTGGAAGACCTGCACTAAAGAACAGATAACCAGAAGTCGCGGTAGCACCCGGGTGTTTTCCGTTAGCGACTAAGTGGCTCGGTGTTTGTAAAAGCCAGGCCGACTACAGCTCTAGATTGGTATTCGGCCCGTCCCGCTCCTAGCGCTATTTTATCCGAGCTGCTAACCAGTTGACGTGTGTGGGGTTGACCTTGGACTGCACCATATGGAGTAAACGGCGCAGGTACTTGTTTGTGCTTTTTAATTCCTGGCTTACATCTTATATTTCATTTATAGTTTGCCTAGTTCAACTTACTCATCTATTATTCGGAAAGCGTTAGGCCTAAACATCAAGTTTAAAGAATGATAAGATAATTGTTATCGAGACTAGCTTCTGCTGCCGGAAAACACTATGTATACGGGCAAAATTTAGCCTGGAAGCGGACAGCTTCAACGAATGTAAAAAGAGCTGGGCTCCCAAGGGATGATTATGGTATGCTTCATGATGGCAAAAATAGGGGGACGCCCAGTCCGAGCGGTTGGGTGCTGTGTCCAGTGATGGATTGTAGACCGTACTGGTATAACCAAAAGAACAAATCAAAATGTGAGGTTGAACTCGCATAATAATTGTGATGATGAATGCTGTATAACAGCCTTTTTATAAAGAAAGTTAAAATGGTGCCAACATAGCTCGTTATCCAAGAGACTCTCAAAATGATTGAGGATCAAGCGTCTTATTCCCTAACTCTGGTGCATATAGCTAGCGTTCGTCTTTGTGACTCGCAGCCAGCAGGGTGCCTCATGCAGCAAGCTCAACCTCCGGCCTCCGCAGGGCCAACGAATCTTGTGAAGATCTTAATGCCAGCGAGCTTAGGACCAGAAGAGTATAGTCTTCTTCATTAAGCGTCTTAGCCATGTCAAATGCCAGACTACATAGGTGGCAGGCAACGTGTTGGCCCAGCCTATCACACAGCACAGAACAGGTCATGTCCTCTAGCTCGTCGGTGGCTCGGCACTCAGCAGCCGTCTTTTCTTCCATGCAGTCACCGCAAAAGGGGCATATGTGCTGTTCCTGGCGGCTTTCTCTCATGGCTTTACTCATCTCATAAATAAAAGAGAAGCTTTCTCATCCTCTTTGCACTTGCTGTGCTCCACGTTAAGATACTTCGTAAAATCAGCTTCCTCTTCGAATTTCGTCTCAAGGCCGCAATTATAGCATATCCAGGGTATGGGCGGACAGACTTCCTGCGCCCACCTCTCCGAATGGACCGTTGTCATGTGCTCGGCCCACGATTTAAAGTCTTCGAAAGAAGGGGGTACTCCTTAACATGTGTCAGAAAGGCAGACGAGGGGCTAGACGTCCTCAAGAACATGATGGCTAGCTCTGTTAGCGCCATAGCGTTTGGGATTTAACTTAAAGAAAATCATACCACCAAGTTATCCACTCGAGTTCTAACTGCTAGAGGGGGTCTGCACAGTATAGGCAACACGGACAAGTCAATCCAATCATTTCGGGGGGGTCAGGGAAGCTTTCCACATCATCGAGAAAAAACATACTGCTTCCCAAGAAAGAATTGGATGAAATTTCTTCATCATGCTGTACTCTAACAATCTCAGATCCTATGGGCTCGCACCCATTCCCCGAAGCATGCGCGTCTGGTATCGCTACCCGCTCCCCGGCAAGTAACTCCGGACTGGGAAGCGACTCTAACCGGGCGCTCCTTCTGGACTTGAGTCTGTGGTGCCGGTTGAGTATGGAGCGTGCGATGCGATTGCCTAAACAAGTCGTGGCAGTCCCATGCCTGTCTGGGACTGCCTGTTGCGTCCAAGGGCGGCACCAGACGCCTGGATAATTCCTGGCAAAGTAGTTAATTACTATATTCTTCAGGACTCCTTCCCGAGAATTCAAGGTATCATCCTCATGTTTCTTGTTGTTTCCGATGCGATCCAAGGGCTTCGAGGGCGGATATTACATCTCTCCTAATCTACTTCTCCAAAGATAAGCGACTAATAGAAACAGTTATCGGTGAGAAATTTTTAGCATGATCTTAGAGGATTCAAATCTCACCGGGCTTGACTTCGTTTCAGATAGACCGCAATTTATCAAGCATCAGAGTTCTGGCCACATCGCAATAGTTAAGTAACCCCCGAAAGAGCTCCAGGCAAGCATTTACTCCACTAATAATGCCCGACATGTCGTGCTTTTGAGCTGCTTCTATTGCTATGAAGGGTACCTGTTCAGCTGTTAGAGGGTGGAAGTCAAATTTTATAAGACAAGCGCAAGGCCCAGTTTTTATAGAGAATTAATAGACAGGAACAGCGCATAAATAGCACTGGTCCTAGAGCTAAACGTTATCACAGCAGGTTTACCAGTCGCACAATATCTACGAATACCAGTCCGCACAAGTTGTCAGCGCACCAACAGAGACCGGTGAACCTCCAGCACATCAGAACCCCTAGCTCGTCGACTTTGTTCACCAAGAGTATGAGTTTACCTCATATCACTGTTTCGGCGGGTCCGGTCTCAGTTCATCGCCCATCGGCTTTATTCTACAAGTCTCTGCCTCTCTTCCTCTCCCAGTGAAAAGAAAGCAGCTACCACATGCCTCGGCTCAACAAAGAGAATCCTCCTATTCAGGCACTGTTTGTCTCATGCAACAGAGAGTGTGTCAATTGTTCACCCAACAAATGTCCACGGCATTTATCTGCGACTCGCACTAGGCCTGGGTCAAGCTGGATGTGGCACCCCGATTTCCGTAGAACGCACAATGTAATGCAAGGACGTACGGAGCACTCCGTATGCAATACGATATTAGCCCAGGCCACTCATCGGATATTAGCCTTATATTGAAATGCAACCTAGGCTCTAACAGCTCCACATATTAAACCTACTCACTCACATCCCCAACACTAGCCCTTTCTTCGATCCACCACCGCTACCAACTTTAACCTCAACTCTAACCGTAATATACGTTTTGGGGGACGCGAATCTATATGTAGCCCCAAACGGGGGGGGCAAGCAAACTGCCAGCCAAGGCACCAACCGTGACAGGGGCTCATTTATAAGTACTTAGAGCAATATTCAATTTAGCTAATAATTCGCTTCAATATTAAAGGTCCTCAGTTTACTTAAGCCCTTAAGGGGCCAGTAACCTTATCTATATAAAGCGGTAGTCAGCAATCAAGCCTGAAAGCCTGGGGTTTTAACAACATCTCAAGCCCTTGTATAACTATCGTTAGGTTCAAGGGTCGGCCCATGCCTTCAATACAACGTGACCTCCGTGTAACACCGACTCAGTTGACCTATCATATTGTGTCCGCCCTCCTACTCAAAGCCGAGGTACGGAGTACCGCTCCTTGTGAAGGTTATACAGGGTCCAATAGTGCGGAGTTAACTCGCTCCTCAATAAGACTTAAGTTATATCCTATCCCCTTAGGCTAGTTATAACCGTAGAAGTAAGGGTCCGAACCCAGTTAACAGCATAAAGCAGCATTTAACTAAGACTCTTCTACATTTGATTCTTCACCGATTACACGGCCTAGTCACGCCACGAAACGTCATAGCTATCACCTCAAGCCCAAATAACAGCGCAATGGTGATTATTAGTGCTGGAGTTTCCAGTTTATCCCGCTTTACTTCTACGGTTCAAGTCCCGGACTAACTAAATCATAAATAGAGCTTTACGCAGCTATTGATTTAATACGCCGTAATAGCAGTCAAGACTTTGTCATTATGGAAAAGGGTAGTCAATCGGCGGTACTTGGAATAACGAGAAGTATCCTAGGTATTACTGCGATGATAAGAAGACCCGACCAGGCTCATTTTTCTACATGCAACATCCATAAAACTAACTTTACGGCTTCACAAAGTATAGAGCCATTTATACTCACTCCTTCTCATTTAATACAAGACTGCCGATGGTCTGGTCACAAATAACTAGTGTGGCACTGTTGTTGAATATCAGCATCGCACCGCGACAGTTGAATGGGGTGATTTCCAGGTTTCTGGGGACGGGGAAGAACTCCTGAAATCCAAGGGGCGTGAACATATCGGAAGAGTAGTCGAAGAGACTCAGCTTTCAACATTAATTGTAGTGGGAATTGCCATTGCTACTCTTGCTGTCGTGTTCGGTTTTGGACCAAATTTCATGAAACGTCTCAAAATCATGTAGAGTTCTTTACCATGCCCTTTTTTGGACTTTTTTTGCTTGAAATTTATATCTTCACTTCACTCTACGTGTAATCAAGTGTTTCTGAGTCGTTATGTTGTGTCTCGGCTCGGCAAAGCTCCAGACCCTCGCTTTCCCAGTGACCGGTCCTCAGCGCCCACCCGATGTATCCAAAAGCTGCTTATAGTCCTGCTATTTTGTCTCCAAGTCAGAAGATATCTGGAACAATACTCTCAAGGGTAGGAGAGTGCGGAGTAAGTTGACCCATCGTACTAGTGCTCGACACAGACAAGATTGGCCGACTCACACACATGCGGGGAGTGGGTGCAACTGTAACTCGACCAATCCCCCAATTACATTATCGGCGGGAAGCTGAAGGAACTACACTCTAACCCCTGTTTGATTAACCGCCCGTGACTTTATAGGGGGGGATATAACCAATAAGAAACGTTAATAAGTCATAGAGAGGAGGTGGGGGGAGTAAGTACATGATTTTATAAGAGAAAAAGTACAGGTGATTGTGCTCTTTACTAGGGTTCGCTAATATCCCCGCTAATTGCTTAACAATATCGCACTTAAAATACCTACATCGCTGATACAGTTGCTCTATCAACCCTGTTAGGTTACGGGTGGTTAATCAACAGGGGTTGGAGCGTATAGAAGGCGGGGAGTTGTTCTGACAGGTCGTGTTTTCAGCTGAGCTGTCAACAGGGCATGCCTCGGGACAATCGGCAATCAAGCGTCCAACACTGCCAGCAGTCTCAACCTGCAGGACTTGTTGGTCATGAGGCTGATTTCCCGCCGGTTGATTTGGAAGCAAGGGATTTGATTCTCTAGTGTGCAAAATGCTCATGTTGCTCATTGAAACCATGCCTGGGCTAGCTGACTGAATTGACATTGATTCACAGCTTTCGAACTTGCAAAGCTTAAGAGCGCTAACAAAGCATTATCGTACTATGACTTTTAAATGATGTTGTATGTCACACGGTTACACGAGGGCTAAGATCACGGGACCTAGGACACAACACTCGCCGACTTCTTGTATAAAAAACTCTTTAGTCATCTAGCCCTTAAGAAGAACCAAGGACCTTTAATGCCAGATACTGTCAATAAATAAATTAAGCTATAACTCCAAGCCCTAACTGAGCGCTTGCCACAGTGTCATACAAATACTTTTAATAGATGGAAGGATGACTGTAGATATGTATAGTATTTTAAGAGCTGGGAGGATCCCATAATGTATGGGATTAACAATAGTCTGAACAGACTATGGAACTCTCAAGTCCTATTTAGTTCCCTTGTCCGAACTTGAGCAACGTAGACCGAAGCATCTTGGTAACATGGGGGCGTTGGCAATTCGCTATCAGCTTTTCTTATTCTATATACACTACAGCTGTTCTAGGTTCAATCTGGACGGCTTCGAGCAAGCCCTGAATGTGCAGTTGCGTAGCAGCCGCATCAGTAGAAAATAGCCAGCCATACAATGCTTCATACACAAGGCGCAAGATTAAGTTAAAAGTGTTCATACCGATAAAATTACTAATCCCATTGGAGAATATGACACGGGCTATTCAATACATCACTAATTATACAGTAGGCCCCACAGCTTTAGTTGTCACCGGAGCATTGAGCCCTAGTCATCCATGTATACATCATTAGGGACTCCATGGTCAAAGTGCCATTCATGATCCTACTAGTAGCTATGATAAATCTCGACATCTTTTTGGCGGGAATTCTTTTCGGATTTCAACAAGTATCTAGATGCTAAAACTACACATTATCACATGTAATACTGGATTTCCCCAATCCCAACTCTTCAGCTTCCAAGGCTTCATCACGATAGGCTGTTCATCTCCCTCGCAATACTTGAGAAAATCGTGTCCTTCGCGGTGGCACCGCAGTACATAGCGAAAGCACTTGAAACAAAGATCAATTTCGTGGCACATGGAACAGTGGTACCGCGGTTCGAGTATTATCTACATACACGTCAGCGTCACTGCTTAATGCGGGGTTCCCAACTCCCTGGAAAGAATTCGAAGAAAGTGCTGGAACTTACACAATAGCACGAGGCACATTCCGGCATATCGTCAGGAATTTTCGGGACGTTTTGAATCGGGAGAACCTCCTCGTCCTCTTCCGGATCTGGCGGTGTCGCCTCAGACAGTTTGTCGTTGGGCGTCAGCTTGGCAACATGCTCTCTGTCTTGGCTTCGACTCCGGTCCTCATTCTTGTCCACGTCATTACCAGATTACCGGATCTCACTTTGGTCTTTCCCTACTCCTGTTTGTCCGTCCTAATCGAGCCACCTCTTTACTGAGTGGAAGTCTTTCAGGCTGAACATGTCTTGAAATAGGTTGCCACGTCAATGGGCTTCCACATCCGGAGGCTGGATTTGTTCCTGTCTGCGCGGCGCTGGATGAGAAGTTCGATAATCTCGAGTTTACCCTGTCGGCACGCCCAATTAAGCGGCGTCCAACCATCGCAATCATTATCTTTCAGCGCCTCTTTATATTTAGCAAGGCTCATTTCGCAGACCAAGTAAGATCCGGATGCTGCCGCAAAGTGCATAGTATGTCGTCCTTGGAAATCCCGGTCAAGGACATGGTCCGCGCTGCTGGCGATGAGCCACCGTATCAGTCTCCCGCCTCTGCTTGCGGCGATATGAAAGGGTAGGCGGCCCTCGTGGTCGACTGTCCCATAGAAAAAGTTTTCTTTCTCTCTCTTCATCAGCCGGTCTATCGCCTCGATATTTCGATGATATACAGCGGCATGAAGCGGTGTTCCGAACTGGCCTGAAAGGACATCAAGCTCCGGTTTGCAGTCAAGTAGTAGGTCAATCATCTGTCCGACACCACCAGAGGCCGCCGCTTGGAGAGCAGTGCCGTATTTACCAGCTTCATGATTGAGTATGTCGCCGTCCTTGTCCCTCTCTAGAATGACTCGGACAGTTTTCAGATACGCATCCAAGTTTCCAACCCTTCGCGTCACTCCTCTCACTGCAGCATTCAGCGGACTCCCGTAAATCCCGTAACCTTTGGTGGCGTCGGCCCCTTTGTCCAGCAGCCGCCTGACTATCTCATGTGCGCCTCCGAGAGCAGCTATTTGGGTTGGCGTGCCTTGGTCAACTTCATCATCATGAGATTCGTATACGTCGTCCCAGTCGGCACCTTAAGACTCAGACTCGATCAGGAGCGTGACCACGTCCAGCATGTTCCGTCCTGCAGCAGATGTAGCAATGTTCTGCCTGCATTGTTTTATTCCTTTCCGTTTATTAATCTGCGGTCGATAAGAAGTTCAACAACTTCCCCGCGCCTGTGGCTTTCGCGGTCTAGGACGTCAAGGACCATGCTCGGATCGAACGAGATCCTCGTGCACTGCCAATCACCTCGTGTTCTGCAATCACTCGGAACACATCTGTAAAGGCACGATGCAAGGGACCGACATATGTCACCGATATACTTTCCGTGGAAGCACCGGCTTTGAGGAGCATGCCGACCATCTCAGGATAGTTAGCTGCAGCAGCATAGCACAAGGGCGATCGTCTAAGCTTGTCCTCAACATTTACCCAGGCTCCAGCATTGATGAGCTTTTTCATAGCAGCAAGCGCTTTGTGCTCCGCTGCCCAGTGTAGTGGTTTATTTTTCATTGCCGTCTCGAGCTTGTACTTTGGCTCTTCGGGCCAATAGTAGATCTAGAAGTCGAGTGTCATGATGGCGCGTTGCAAAATAAAATGCCGTACACCCCTCAGCATTTGTTGCATCTTTATTTGCTCCTTTATCTAGAAGCATCTTAGCAATATCAACGAACTCAGCAATCGATGCTTGTATAAAGGCCGAGTTAAGCTCGCACCAAGCTTGCCCACTCATCAGAGCCATTGCCGCGGCTTTCTGGCCAAATAAGCACGCCAAATCAAGAGCTGATAGTCCCCTGTGCTTTTTAACATTGTTCTCCGAATTGTGCCTCGACGGTTTTTGTGATAGTGCGTACTTGTCCTCGGCGAGCTGCAAGATGGATCGGGCTGTTTCCCTCCTTATCCACGAGCTTCAATCCTGCCTTATTGCTAATCAGCAGATCCAGTATGTCATCGAAGCCGAACTTGGCGGCAATATGTAAGCAGTTCCCCAGGGACCAACTAAATCCACGCGGGCCCCTTAATAGAGCAGAGCATCAACTATCGATGGATAGTTGGATGAGGGGTTATCCACATCTCTAACACTTACATCAAATCCGGCTTTGTTCTGTCCTGCTTCTCATCTCCCGCTGGCTCTGTGTGCGCAGCCTTCGCGTGGCTCAGGAGAACAAGTGCGATTTCAGGGTGGCCACTTTCCAGAGAAACATGCAGCAGTGTCTGGCCCTTCTTGTTTGTAGAACAGATGAGCGCCCCTTTCCAGAGGAGAAGTTGGACGGTTTCACATCGACCACTTGCGGCCGCTTCGTGCAACGCGGTTTGGCCTTCGTTGTCAGCCATGGATATGGCGGCATCCGCATCAAGAAGCCGCCGAACAATCTTAAAGTGACCATTCCTAGCAGCGAGCGGCAAGGGCGTGGCTAATGAAGCGTCTTGGGCGTTGATGGTTCTGGCCACGTCGGTACAGGAGGCAATGATCCATGTGACCAGAGTTTCATTCCCTAATATAGCTGCCAAATGCAAAGCACATCTAGCGTTGTGCATCTTGTCCGTTTGGCAGATGTATTCCTTCTGGATGTCTAGAATTGGCTGTGGCCGCACGAACCAGCCGCTTGCCGCTATCAGAAGGAGAGGCATCTGATCGTCCCCAACACCGGCTTCACTCTGATATTCGACTTTGTTTGTGAGGCGCTCTACCAGCGAGGTACTTCCCCGACGCACGGCATTGTGAAGAATATCAAGACTATGAGCCTGAACAAAGTCACTGTGACTTTGGCAAACTTGCAAGAGTGCTTCACCGCATCCTGTCTCGAACATTTGCTGCAATGTTGCCTCGTGGGATAGATATCCCCTCCTATGCATTGTGGATAGGACCTCGATGTCACCAATCTGGCAAACCGCCAGTGCAACAGCACACCAGCCGAGCACACCAGCCGATGCACCGTGAACACCTCTCGACTTCGCTAGCCTTGAGGAGCAGGTCTACGGCCTTGGACGTCGACACGTTGAGTTCTTGCTTGACTTCACTAAGTTTTGGGCATTTTGGATAACGCCAGTACATCGAATCTTGGGATTTGTAATAGTTACGCAGCTGCAGCCAGAGAAACACGCGCCAGTCAGCATCGAGAAAAGTTGACACCGGCTCCATGTCGACGGCTGAATCGTCACCGGGTTGCTGCATGTGGACGAACCAGTGTTGAACTGCGTAGCGTAGGAGAGGCGCGTTCTGGACTTTTGGTGAGGTCAAATCTACGCTGGTCCAAAAATCCAGTGATTGTAGTTGAATATGGTGTGGCGTGCGATACAGTATTATTTGATACTATATCGTATGACTCGCTCCGATTGGTAGGACTCGGCGCCTCCATGTACTTTAAGAGATGGTTTGCGCAGAATTTAGCAATTTCGAGGTGAGCAATATGTGTTTTTCCTATAATGGTCATCCTCGTCTTTGAATCCGCCGGCCATCGTGACCGAGCAGCTTGGAAGGAGGGCACACTTTGGAAAAACAAAGCCGCCTTTGATTTCAATGATTCCAGGCAAGAATTCGTCAAAAGCAATGGCAGGCACTTCCTGGAGAGCAGGTTCGTCAGCTTCCTCTAGGTCCAGTCTCAAGACTTCCCCGAGCTATTCCAAACTGAGTGAGCGAATGGCATTGAAGACCCAGAAAAGTCCTCTCCGTATTATCGCCTGAAAGAATGTAGATGCTCGAGCGACGAGTGTAGGAATGGCCTCTTGACCACCATGTATCAAGCAGTGGCCCACGGAGTGCAAGGAAAAGAGAAGGCTATCAAGTGGACACCGATCCAGGAAGCTAAGGAGGGAGCGGGTTGGCGAACTACTACTTTGTAGTTGATGAGAGATGCTATTCGACCCGTTGTTCCTCCAACAGACGGCGGAATGCATTCTTTGCGCAGTCGTAGTGACCTCGATTTCATGGTCTCGTCGAATCGCGGCAACCCGTCGCGTCCGGATCGTGGAGGTCGATAACCCACCTCCCGTATTCGCAATGGTTGCCATCGTTGTGGCCCGACTTTTGCAACATCAGGAGCTTGCAAGCTGTTTCTGTGGCTAGAAACAGATTGCAAATGCTGGTGCACATCTCCATAAATGGCGCAGCGAGACCGGACTTGTCCGGCTCATGGATTATGACTAAAACCTTGCCAGAATGTTGATTATTAACAAGACATTTTAGACGTCTCCATAGCACATTCTCTGTCCATGCCGTGTTGTGGCTGCCGAGAGCCTTCTGGGCTTCTTCCGAAAGACGATGAATACAGGTCACTAATCGGGGCCGGGACAAGACAACCTGTTGACATGCGTCAGCCAGCAGTTGCACTTTCGTCAAGGGTCTAGACAGTCATCCTGCAGGCTGCACCAGAGTGATGAATAAATCTGTGAGGTTTTGTCTTTTGTCTTTGATGGCAGCCATGAGAGAGCTCGTAAGGACAGTCGAGAAATTATGGGCGGCCCCTACGGCCAGCACGCGTACCGAAGCTTCCAGGAAACTGGGGGGACAAGGATGAGTGCCTCCCTGGCATGGGTCGGTATCATTCCTCTGCCGGCTGTATAGCCCTCTCCGGGTAATTGCATAGCATATCCAGTCGCCGAATCCATGTTGGGTAAGAAACCAATCGCACAGATGTTTGAGGCGATGATCCGAGACCCGGTGAAATGACACATATGTGGTATGTGATGAAAGCAGATTAATCCATGTGGTATACTCGTTTCGTGTATCTGTTCGGAGAATCGGATAGGATACATTAGCATAATTAGCTCATACAATTCGCTTTGTAAGGTCAAACGAGACATAAATTCTCATAATAGTAGGCACCTTACGTATATACGCATCCTCAACCACATTCTCCAAGTATCTCTATTGTTCGGCCAGAAGGTCATGCCCTGTTTGCAAACCAGTGCGGGTCTCTTTGTCCAGATCCAGGGTGGCAGCGTGTCTTACAATCAACTACACATATACAGTACACGTCAGCGGCCCGGAACTCAATGCCATGGTATATACCCAGTATAAGTAGCTGAGAGTGCTCACCACGTCATGGGACCCAGTGTCAGTTCTTTCTTGGAAGAGGCTAGTGATGGAGAAACGAGGTGCAATCCTGTCGAAATCTGCCGCAAGATTCTCGTGACGGGTGGCCAGATTGCGAATACCATCAGGTATCCAAGGTCCCTGACGAGACCCGCGGAGCCGGTTATGAACCAATTTCGCGAGAGTGGAGTCTCGTGAACCGTTCAAGGGGCTCTGTGCGGAGTGCCAAAAAACATCTACTCTTTGGTGAGCGACCTGATAAAGCCAGGCGGAAGTCCCCGGCAATGCCGATAAAATCGATACAGGGTAACGAACCAAGGCACCCGTAGCATTCAAGACCAATGAGTACTTAGGGTTATCAGCTGGTATGATAAGAGCCTATACGTTGATACGAGCAATAAAAAGCATCAGAATGTAGGACTGGTGTAAGCACGCTGGGTTGAAACTTGACGCACCTGCTTCTCAACTGACCCGCCAAGGCCACAGGCCAAGAAAATGATTCTCTGTGAAGTAGACTATCTGGGTATCAGATTATGGCGCATGTTGGTCAGTTTGAGGACTACCAGGGTTTACCGAGCACATGGCTTCCTGGGCCTTCTCCAGTAACCTCTTGGCAGCATTTTCAATTCCATCTATTGCCACAGATTTCCCAACAATAGCGTCAATCTCTTCGGGTTGAAATCGATGGACTATGGTCTTGACATAATCAGAGAGACTAAGGGTTAACCGCGAGTCGGCAATGCTGTCTCCATCAAGGTCATGAACGCCAAAAAGGTTGCGTAAACAAAAGGAGTCAGCGTCCTCGAGTTTTCCCACTAAAAGTCGGGCTAGATTCAAAACCCTACACCACAGTGCAGTTCACACTGATTTTCTCATTCCCGGGGATGGAATCGACAAAGGGAGGAGATCGAGGCGGTTCGACAAAGTCACTGGGATAAAGCCAGTCCATAAAATCGTAGAGAGGGTCCTGGCCTATCCAGGAAATATGAGACTCCATGGTTACGATGGTTTGCGAGACTATAACGGTTAAAGAGATTCAAGTTCAAGAAATAAAAACGTTACTGGGGAAGCGCAAAACTGCAGTCCGATCTGGTCAGACGGAGCCCGACTCCAAGCAAGTGGACGCAATGTGAGCGCTGGTCAAAGGTGTGTGTCAGAGCACCCACCAGGTCAATTGCTCGGGGCGCTCATCCATTTTACTCGGGGCGCTGACGCCCCAATTTTTCTGCGGTCAACCCCGCTGCCAGACCCCATAGTACATTCTCAGTAAAAATGCATGGCAGCTTTACTCAACACTAAAAAGCTCTATTAAAAATTAACGGATTTTTTAATAAAGGTGCAGCCGTGTGAATTTTTCAGCGGCCAGCAGCGTTTTTCCTTCTTTAACACCACCTCAGCCTGAAAGTGTACAGCGGCTTAAAAAAAATCATGTAAATTACACAAGCACCTTATCATTTAATTGAGGGCATTTACTGCCATGCATTTGAACTGAAAATGTACTATGGGGTCTGGAATCGGGGCCGCTAGACTAAAATTGGGGCGTGGTGGGGTATTGAGCGCCCCGAGCAAAATGGACGAGCGCCCCGAGCAATTGACCCCACCAGGTGTTCGGACCACGCGGTGCGTATCAATTACGCAGTTACTTGTTTGCACGTGTAGCCTCCTCCTGGATGCAAGACCAAATCCGCCAGCGAATAGCATCGCTTTAGCGGCCCGGAGCGATTCGAGCTTATTCCCGGGACAAGCGACATGCATGCCCCACAGTGCTGGTGATAGAGCCAATCACATGGCTTGATGGGCCCACAATATCTTGGAGACTCAAACGGCTGTAGCTCAGATATAAAGTCGAATCATATTCTGCCACAAACGGTAGGACAGCTAAGAAAACCCGAGCACCAAAGACGTCTCCACGACCAACTCGCTCGACGCAACGCTAGAGCCTGTTGATCCGTTCTACAACAAAGATTCCAGAATGGTACAGAGAACAACCGCCCACGCAACTGCAAAGAAAATATCAGAACTCGTGTTCTCATCTGAGCCAGATGCAAATCCCCGCAAGAGGCGAGATGAGAAACTCAGTCTCCCAACTAATTCGGCACCGGCCCATACCAGTCCTCAAACCCCTGCCACACACGTCAGCATGCATATCCCTTTTACAGTATGAGAACTCGGGCAACATACCAAATCATGACCCCAGGCCGGGGTATTGACTCTCTTCTGCTTGCCACTCGCAGCCATTCCGTCCAATACTTTCATATCCTCTTTTGACAACTCAACCACCTTGAGGTTCTGCTCAATCCTGTTCGCAGTGACGGACTTGGGCAGGACAACGCAGCCCCGGTTCACTTGGTACGAGATTAGCACCGTAGCTGGCGAAATACCGTTCTTCTTTGCAATGCTGGCGATTTGCTCGTCTTCAAGAAGCGGGGCGCCTGAGAAGCTGTCAATATCCACCCGTACGGTGCTTCATTAGGAGGGTGTACTATACCCGTAGAGCCCAGAGGGCAGTATGCCTCTAGAAGAATGTTGTGACTGTCGCACCACTCCTTGAGCTTGTGCTGCGGGTTGAACGGGTGCAGTTCGACCTGGAGACAACATGAGCATCTAGCGGGGTGGGATGGGCAGAAAGGCCTACCTGGTTCACAGCTGGCGTCACAGTCCACGTCTTCTTCAAGTGCTCTAGGTACGGCACACTCCAGTTCGACACGCCAATTGCCCTGGCCTTTCCGGAACGGTAGACCTCCTCCATCTGCCTCCAGGTGTCTTGCTGGTCCCAAGAGCGATCAACAGAACGCGTGCCGTCTGGGTTCACGGGAAGAAGGTCAGACGTTTCGTTGGGCACAAGGCGTCTGGCTGGGGTCAGCAACAATTACGTGGTACCATGGCACGAATGCACTTACACTGGCCAGTGCACAAGGTAAAGGTCGAGATAGTCCGTTTGAAGATCCTCCAAGGTCTGGGCCAGACCGGCGGCCACGTCAGTCTGGTGCGTATTCCAGCTGTTCTTCGGTCAGGTCACTCTGTTGAATAAGTGTGGGAGACTGGGAGCTTAGAGTAACTGACAGTTTGCTAGTGATGAAGATTTCCTTCCGAGGGACCCCAGATCTCTTGATGGCGTCTCCCACTTCTTTCTCTAGGCGGAGGTTAATAAGTGATGCTCCTTGGGCTTGCTGGAGGGGTGTAGCACACCATTGCGGTAAATGAGCGCACAGTCAATGTGCCTGTAGCCGGACTTAAGAGCGTGCTCCACGGCCTTTCCAACCTCGCCCGGATTTGCTTGCCATGTTCCTAAGCTCGTTCAGTTTTCGTTTCTCTCGCTTCACAAACTCGGGCGTCTTACCAAGTCCAACGGCAGGAATGGAGGCGCCAGTGTTGAGTTTGAAGCTCGATGGGGGTGCCATGATTGTGTACCACTTCCAACGGCAATATAAGTAATTCAGGAGCTATTTTCATAACTTGGGTATGAATATTGGACATGGTTGGCTTTTATACTTGGCTGACATTCATTCCGAAATCGCCTGTGGCATCGGAACCATTGTGGGTGACCGGAACTGTTGGTGGAGAAGCGGAGACGATGAGCATTGGCTAGACACAACGCCGTGGTGTTGGTCCTTGGAGCTGCGGTTGAATGATGCTCCACAAGGGGGGTCTAGCTCCTGCCACATGTTCGTTCGTGAAGATGGTTCATGTTTGACAGGACTAGGAACAGCTAGCTAGTTCAACTCAGCAGCTGCATGCTGATGATGGGAGGAATTGAACGCACTACTAGCTCACGAGACCGTCTACGGTGCCCATCACGTCCATGTATTGTTCCTTCTTCACCAAGACGACGGTTCGGGATGGTTCATTGATAAAACCAGGCTCTTGTTACAACTTGGACCAGAACCTATAATCGACTCACGCCGAGGGGCCAGAACTGGTTTTCAGCTGATCATCAACAAACTTCAGCTTTTCACTCCGATGGGTCGTCAACATGGCACAACCCCCTTATTTGAAGCTACTCTTCCCTTTGTAGACTTAGTAATACATGTTTGAATCGTTGAGCTATACCCCACGACATGCTTTCCAACCGCTCAATAAAGATTGACAGAACTTTAGAGATGGTCAGTTCAGACATGCTTCCGAGGCCCTGAAATGCTATCTCGCCCCCATGTTGTATCCAGTCACTTGCAGCGCTATTGTCAGACCCTGCACAATATTTCATGTTAGCATCCGTTCAAGTGGAGGAAGGTCCGAGGAGACTTGCACGTTATCGTGGCCGGCCGCCTGTCCTGGTCTGATTCAGTAAGGTTACTCGACAACTTTGTGATGGCCCAGAATGTAAGAGCAACATCAAACGTCAATATCGTCTCAGTCGGCGAACTTTAACTTTCGTCAGCCTAGTCCGCTACATCAGCCGATGGGGTTCGTACTCAAATATAAACCTCGACAGCAAGATGCTCAATTGTCCTGCCTGTACGAGTATACCCCTCGTGATAACTGGGTCCTCTTCAATGCGAGCTCGAACCCATTCCCGAGCGTCCGCCTTGCTCTCATCTGTTCCAGATTTCCCCGCCGCTACCTTGATGTTTTGAAGAAAATTGGGCCATGTGAACTGAATGTGGCCCAGGTGTGAAAGAGCAGTTACACTTAGTATGAGTGTGTTGGGCTTATTGGGCAAGGAATGACACGATGCAGAAAGTTGGTCGAGGAGCTGTTGCGGGTTGCTGCATATATTGTATCAGGAACAAAGTATATGTGCTGTACGTTGCGACACTTACAATCTAAACGTAGGCGGGAAGGCAAGACGATAGGGATTTTCTCGGGGTGGCCTGGACGCTGGCAACACCGAATCGAATACGGCTGCATCTGTGCATAGTCTACGCACGATCAGTCTCGAAGCCTTTCTGGCAATGGATTCACCATACCTGTAAAGAGTGTATGCAACAATGGACAACCCAAAAGAACTCAAGGGTTGCGATAGCTTTCCTTTCAAAAGTAGTGACTCTAGCACCTCTCGAAAATTGGGCCCGTCTTGTCCCAAATTCATGTCCAAGGCCGAAGGCTGGTGGCCCCTTCCAGCCTCATCACCACTTGGCAGAGGAACATTTATCTCGCCTACAGACAAAAGAGGGGCAACATTGAGAAGTGCGGATATCTGCATATCGTAAAGCTGCATTATGTTAGCCAGTGCAAAGCTCTCTAGCTCGCAAATGGGGTGGTGACCTACGTATATACCCCACCCCAGGTTTCTCCTCTCCTCGTCATCAGCTTGCGCCTTCTTTAATTCCTCTTCGCTGAATTCATTTCCATTCTTCTGAAGCTCTTTCACGAATGACAAACTAGGCCTAAGGAGATGCATTCTTCTCGCCGCAGTTACCAAACTGCCTCTGCTAATCTCGGCATGCTGGTACAGCATTCGTGATCCACAAAATAGGCCGAAGACGGACTGTAGGAGGGACGCTTGCGCAAATCTCAAGTCGAACATGGCTCGCTGATCCTTCTCGCGAGTATAAATGATGACCCTCCGTACCAGCTCGTTGAGGGCGATAGCAAGGCCGCCATACTTGTCTCGTGAGTACATTGCTCCGATGGCAGCCATAGCCAGTAGTAAGATGGGTGGTGGCGTATTGGGGGTGCGTAAACCATTGTATGGAAGTATAGGAAGAGTGTCATGAAAGTGGCGAAAGTAAAGGTTAATGCACGTGGATAAGGTTCGAGTAGACGGGAGGAGTGCGACATCCACAACAGGCCAATTATGGTTGTTGGTCGTATTGACAAGTGTTATGATTGCCTGACGAGTCGATTCATCGATGCAGTCGAGATTAGTATCTTGAAAGATGGTCGCCGTATGTTGATCAACGGGTAAGAGGTTCAGCTGGTTGTCAATCTCGGTAGGGCGATAGACATGTGGCTTCATTTCTCAATATTAGCTACGAGGCTCCTCTGAAGGACGTGACATACCCATGGAGTATCTGATGGCTGTTCATCACGAATGAGGCTTGATGAAGACGACAGCTCGACAGTTCTCGACGTCGACGGCGGCTCTGTGATGTCTTCTGGTGCTTCATTGGCAGACCGGAACCAGTTGAGAGGTGACATGTCGAGAAAATCAACGTTTTCAGACTCGACTTCACCAATGTCCCATCCGAAGAAGCTATCCGATGGGTCCGTAGCAAGACCATACAGAGGTTCAAATGATACTGGAGCAAGATCAACTATGTAACTTTCGTTAGCCATGCTTTATGTGCCAGTTGGACATGACCATTGTGTACCGAGCGTTGGAATTGTTGTTGATGACTCACGAGCACTACCAATCACCGGCTGCGCGAGGTTTGCCATGAGAGATGATTGGTTGGCATCCTCCAAGCCATCATGGTGATTCGGAGTAGGCTCATTCTCCTGGTTGCCTTCGTTATTCCGTAAGATACATTCCCATCCGGATGCAACACACCGACTGCACCTAGCTCCTGGCTGTCTATCGCACCGTGTCTTGAGCGAGACACATGAGACACTACAACAGATGAGAATGTGTATCACTGAGAACGAGGGGCAGGGGCCGCGCTTTTCTCACCAGGCCACTTTACGCAACTTTCTTGGTCGAGTTTCGTGTAGGGCACGGTGTCTAGTCATGACATCCCTGAAGCCGAATGTCAGCAGCGCAGACAATAGGGGACCATTTCCTTCATACCTTCGGACGAACCGCTTTTTGCAGATTGGGCACTCATACTTGAAATCGCGTGCATCTGCATGTATGTCAGAGTAGCCGAAGCTGCCGCGAGGGGCAAGGCAAGGCGAAGGCGAGGCGACTCACGGCTTCGCTCGTGACGCTGAAGGTGCTCGCGCTTTCGATACATCCGTCCACAGCCTGGCCAACTGCACGAAAATGAAGCATCCTTGCTTGACTGAGTACCTCGGGGTGGCGTTCCCGGTAGGACATCCGATGGCATCTGCATGTCTGACGGGCAATGTTGGCTCATGGCATGCTCTGTCCGCGGTGTCGGGGTCGAGGTGGAAAGTTTGTCACCGGAAAGGGAGTGGGAAAAGTGGCATCATTGGGTCAGAAGTGAATTGCTCGGGGCCCGGTCGGCGAACGGATGAACCCCAACTCCACTTTGATATTGCCGAGTTCCGACCAGGGACCGTGCCCGCCCCACATAGTTGGGGCTCAATCGCGAATCGCCACCGACGAGAGAATTCGAGCCGTCTTCGTGCACTGCTTCCCCACAACGCCTCCGGAGCCAGCTCTCCACTTCCCCACGTTATGGGAATCATGAATCTCTATATATCTGGGGATCTGGGGATCTGGGGAAGAGATCAATGAGCCCATTGAGTCCATCATTTATATCCCTACATTTAAAAGGAATTCACCATGTCCAAGGACCTTTCATCACATAATGAAAGCCTCTCAGACCGCGAGACGCGGCCATTCGTGGAGGATCCAGCCTTGGAGAAGAGGTTGGTAGCAAAGTTCCGAACGCATGCCTATGATGCTAATGTCGGCAGGATCCTTCGCAAGGTTGACATGCGCCTCATTCCGATGCTTTCCGTCATGGTGGGTTCCAAGTTCCTATAAGCACAGTACAGTACCAGCTACTAACATTCATTCTAGTACATTCTGAACTGTAAGTAGCCGCATGCCTATTGCGCGGATTCTTGTCTTGCGGGGCTAATAATGTCGGTCTCAATCAAAAGACCTCGACCGAAACAAGTAAGCAACTTGGGATTTTCCATTTCTGGTGCATTCTAACCATATAGCAGCATTGGAAATGCAAAGGAAGCAGGCATGTCAGAATCTCTCCATATGAGTTCATCTGACTATTCCCTCGCGGTATCAATCTTCTTTATTGGATATTTCTTGCTCGAGGTTCCAAGCAATATGATTTTGAACCGCACAAGACCCAGTATCTATCTCCCATGCCTAATGGTAAGTCGTCCCGGTACTCCAAACTTGTCTCACAATTTCCCGGTGTTGACACAGAGTAGATTGTTTGGGGATGCCTGGTGTAAGCTTTCAAGCAAGTCCCAGCCCGACTACACCATACCTAACGATAAGGCAGAATTGCATATGTCGGCGTTAACAAAAAGGAGCATTTGTTTGGTTTACGCTTTTGCCTTGGACTTCTTGAGGCAGGCTACTTTGTACGTTCTCATATCTTGTTGTCAACGTTTCGTACTAACATTCCCTTAGCCGGGAGTGCTCTTGTTCATGAGCAACTGGTACAAGAAGAGCGAACTTGCACGACGTTTTTCCATCTTTTACTGTGCTTCACTGGTATCTGGTGCTGTTGGTGGGCTCATTGGTATGTGTAGCCAAGGGTTGACACAAATGTACATGCGCGAACTGACCTGGGGATAGCTGGTCTGATCACAGATAACATGCAGAATCGTGACGGTCTACCAGCATGGAAGTGGCTGTTCCTGAGTACGTATTCTTGGTACCAAAGATCTCTATCCTGAATGGATGTAACTAACTTGGCTCAGTCGAGGGCTGTCTGACAGTTGGCTTCGCCACCATAGCCATGTAAGCCGCTTCCCAAGCTATGCACCTTGCCATCGGAACTGACACACCCAGATTTATTCTTCCCGACTTCCCCGCTACAACAAGGTGGCTCACCGCCGAAGAGCGCGAATATGCCATTAGCCGTCTCGAGAATGATCATAATTCGACACAGGCTGGCAATCTGAGCCACCTGCAAAGTTTTCTGCACGCTGTTCGCGACTGGAGGTAGGCAGCTGCCCTTCTTTGTCAATCAAATCACGCTGACGTTTTCGAGCTTAGAACTTGGATGTTTGTCCTATGTCAGAGCCTTTGCACTTGTGCAGGTACCATCACGTACTTTATCCCGACTCTTATGGCGGCGCTGGGATACGAAGGGCATGGGATACAATATGTAAGACCTCGTGCTAGAATTGGCAAATTCAACTTTTCTAACGCTGACACAGATGACAATCCCCATTTGTAAGACGGCCTCTGGTCGTAAGAGCCGCGCTGTAAGGAAGTAACACTAACCGTATGGCAGACATGGTGGCACTTGTTATCGTCCTAGTGTGCAGCTTCTCGTCAGACTTGCTAAATGAGCGCCCCAAGCATATCATGGCCATGGCAGGCATGGCCACTGTTGCGCTCATCATCACTGCTACCGTCGAAAATAACAAAGCGCGTTATACATTTCTAGCCTTCGGTAAGTCAAATTCATAGTCAAGATTGCGGTAACGGCCATGACTGATAAAAGTTATAGGGGCGTCTGGCATCTGGGGTTGCAGCACCCTGACACTAAGTTACCTGTCTAACACGATTTGTCGACCGGCTGAGAAACGCGCCGTTGCGATTGGGCTTGTTAAGTATGGAAACAAGCTGCCATCATGTGTTTGTCAGGAGCTAACAGATTACAGTGCTCTCGCCAATTTGTCATCAGTATAGTAAGTGTCCTAACAGTCATCTGTAATTTGAAACCAGACGGTAGCTCACGCGTTCTCAGTGGCTCGTACATATGGCCCTCCAACTCGGCACCGCGATATATAGCCGGCTTCTCTGTTAGCATTAGCCTCATGTTCGGAACGCTACTTACCGCTTTCGCCTTGATGATTCTGACAAAGAAGTATCCCTATGAAAATACGAAAGATGGATACCTGGGAGACCAGGCTCCAAGCGAAAATTCTTCGCATCATGTATAGAAAATTGTAGATGCAGAGACAACACGACAGTTTTGAGGGCAGACAATTATGTCGGTGGTTCATGAGTTGAATAAAAGTTCGCTCACAAGCACTGAGATCGCTGATTCCAAGCCGAGTTGCCCAAGCCAGCGTTTGTGCTGGTGGCTTTTGGGCGAACTATATAAGAAAGGAGGCAAGAATTAGATGACTGCACAAGCTATCCGAAACAAATGATCCGATTCTTTGGTCAATTCAGTGCATTCATGCCTTTTTGTCTGATACCCTGCTGGTACTTCACTTTAACTCTCCTGCATCAGGTCAGTGTTTCACTTGCGAGCATTCCCACACGACAGTCGAAGGCAAAGTATTTGACCACAACATGTACCTAGCTACCTGTTGGAAGAAATATGTAATATCTAAGTAGCTACGGTGATACCTCGTAGGCGTCGACAATTTCTGCTCTCTCGCTTAATTGGAATTTTTCCAACACCATCACTCGCTATAGCTACCATAAAACATATATTAAACGTTCTTATCAACGAGCAAATATATCCTGCCACAGACTGCATCAAGAGCATGGAGAAGGGCGGAAAATGCAAACATCACTCAGGTCCCTGCTTCTATATCCCCGAATTTGTCAAATACTTCAAATAGCAACCTGGCTTGCAACCTATCAAAGTGCCAAGATAATGACTTCAAGATCTGTGCCTATATGTCTATTATCAGGCCCAATGATAGCAGAGAAAGTCAAGGGGCCACACTTGTAAGCTGGATATCGAGGGTATTGCTGGCTCTTTTGGCCCCATGCCTCAACCGTCAAACCCAATAACCGTCATGACACCTATTATGCCTCGCATTCTCCACAAGATTTTCCCTTCTGCCGCAAAGTTCTCTTGGACAAATCCCCCATTGGAACGGCGAAGCCCAATGCTTCCTCACATAGATAATGCGCCGTGCAATAGTACCCAAGTAAGCCAGCCACGAATCCAAACGCACCAGCCGCCTTCTGCATCCTCGAATACGTGTCATGATGCCCGTCCGCCTTGGCAAACTGCGACGCTCCGTCTAAAATAAGACATAATTCAATGCATGCAAAAATAGAGACGTAGACGAGATTTCTGTTCCCCAGGTTAGCCTGTTTCTAAAGAAGAGGATTGAAAGGCTACGTTTCGCTGCCCTGTCTAGTCGCATTCAAACTTACAGCCTGATGGAAGCTAGGAGAAAGAAAATATTGAGGACAGCCCAAACTGAAAAGAAAATCCTTCGGGTCAGCAGCACTCTCTGATTCACAAAATTGGGCGTAATTCTCACTCAAGATGAAGAATCCAAAAGCATTGTAGTACTCGGGAGTAAGACCTCCGTACGCGTCTACAACGCCAAACGATGGGATCATGAGGGCGCCATATCCACCGTAAAAGAGCCCTATTTCATAATGTCAGTCACCTCAAGACGGCACATGCTTTGACATCCGGGCTGGCGTCTTGGGTACCGAAAGCCGTCAGAACAGTGTAGGAGAACGTGTCCCCTTTCACCATTGACCATTGCCCACTGATGAGCAATCCGATGCAAGCAACGAAGCAGAGGTCCCCGACAAACATGGTCTGAACTGAAACCCCTCGGAAGTTCATCATTGCCAAGGAGACACTGAGCAGGGTGGTGGCAAAGCCGCCCATGGCCAATGGAGACTAACACAATCAGTAGATGCTCCTTTCCGAACTGCTCTCTTGGCAATAGTATGCAAGGTCGTATCGTACCGGATCGGCTAGATGGGCATTGGGCACCATGGGAACACTCTGGTGAGAAACAGTCGGTGCTGTGTCGACTTGGGTTTCTTTAGTCACGAACATGATGATGTCCGCTGCGGCGTTACGACTAAGCAATTGGTTTATTGACAGCTTCTTCTATGAGAGAAATTTGAGATAGAAGGAGTTGACTCGGCTTAAGAAGGGTGCAAGTATGTCGAGGATCAAGCAAGGACATGGCTAGTCACCTTCGGCCTTACTACGAACACCACCGGGAATCAACCACGGCTTACATCTTCGCCCTGGGCGGCAACTTGATCAACAGAGAACATGTATAGATTGGCCCCGATCTCGCAGTTGAGGAGCCGAACAAGGCGCCACATTTGCACTTTATTGACTCTTTTTGTACTAGTGACCAGTAGTCGGTCTGGATGGCACTCGGCAGCTTATCTAGGCCTTATCTAGGCTATGAATGCGTGACTAATTACATATTTAGTACTTTTCGGGCAATTTGAACTCAATGACTTGAAGTAAATATTTAGTCATTCCAACTAATCGCGAGGGAGAAATTGGGTCGTCAGGAGCCTAGAGTCAATCGTCTGCTGCATGAGGTGCGGCAACCGGCGAAAAGTTTACTTCAGAGACAGGTACAGAATAAAAACAGCTATATATGTAATAAATACTAAATTTCATTCATACCTGTCAGGGAATGTCAATTGCTCTCTTCCCCGGGGCAATGCGGGTTTTGTCCGCCCATTCTCTTTATGGCTCATTTGGTCTACCGTAGTCAGAAAACGACATGAACATATTGAATATAAATAGACTAACTCAACTTGGCTCCAGCTGCAGTTGATCGTTTTTAGAAAATATTCATTCAGTTTACTACTAAAGAGCTCAGTCCTGGATTCTGCATATATCCTGTGGTATTATTTCTGGTGAAACGTTTACAAACCGATCCTTTCGATCGAATGATCTAGCTTCCCCAATTGGAACCAATAGTCTAAGGAGTACTACCGCGTACTCCGTAGTCAGGGGTCTGTTAGATGACGGTGGCATGATAAGGGTCAGGGTTGCGATAAGGGTTGGTCATGACTCATGGGTGCTGGATGACCTAATTCGGCAATAGCAATGGTCGAGTCGAGTCGGGTCGGGTCAGGGCATTCTTTTCCAATTCCGCTGTGCAAACTTGCTCACCGATAAACATGTCTGATTTAATCCAACAGCATGGGTCTGATGTACCAGAGGTCTCTCTTTAACTCACGAGTTAAGCCGGCTGGGGGAATTCCTGGTCCCCCTCATAGCAGATGTCGGTCCCTTCTTAGCAAAACTCGTCATCAATTGATACCCTGGCAATTCTCGCCCCCCTAAGTAACCCCAACCTAGATATGTAACCTTTTGAACCCTAACCTTGAACTTAACCTTACTCCCTACTGGGAATCGACTTAGAATTTGTTTTAACTCCATTTCTGGTAGGGAGCTGATATCTGCTGGTAGTTCCCCATTATAATTGATCCACAATGGCCTTTTCAAGAGAGTGTAGATGACCCGACCATTGCTCGCCTACCTGACCTGAGCCGACCATTGTAATTGACCTGACCTGACCATTGCTATTACTATTTTGGGTGGAATATAGTGAGCTATAGTGGAGCATAGTGGATATCCCTCCAGGAGTTTAGCTGTTAGGGTTAGTTGGGTGAGGTATTGGGGTTAGGGTTAGTCAGGGGATATGAATGACGAATTGGGTAAGACCAGTGGTCAGGTCAGGTCAACTACAATGGTCGGGTCAGGTCAATTACAATGGTCAGGTCAGGTCAATTACAATGGTCGGGTCAGGTCAGGTAGGCATTCTCGCCTTTCAATGGGGGGGCCAGATGTTTACAATACACCAGACTCGTTCTCGCGTCACCGCTGGTTTTTGCTCGAGACCCACGTGCCACCCAGTTTCGCTCCTTTTTCTACCGGAATAGCAAGTTGACCGTTTGGATTAGGCGACTAGATACCATCAATCGCACGTACGCGTCTATATCAGCAATACATAGCTCACTCTGAGCTGATCCCCGGAGCGCAATGTCGACTTCAGCTTAAAGAGCCACGGATGCTGCCGCCAAAGCTAGAGCTTTGGGCAACGAGTTGTACCGAGCAGGCAATCTCCCACAAGGTAAATACATCTCTATACGCGTCATTGCGCCGTCGTCTGACGTCTTTTCAAGCTGAAAAAGCATATAAAACAGCTGCATCCCTGGCTCCCGACGACCCGTCACCCGTCTCTAATCTGTCGGCTGTGAGATATGAGATGGGTGACTACAAAGGTGCCATTGCTCACATAAGAGAGGCGATATCACTGAACGACCCTGAGACCGATAATAGCGCTAAGAATGATAAGTTATACAGCCGCCTGGTTAAATGCTTCTTATACGTCCTTGACCTTAACTCTGCTAAGGACACCGTGTCCCGCATTAGCAATAGTCAGCTCCGAGCCGAACTAGACGAAACTATTGGATCAATTAAGGCTTTATGGGTTAAGGCTCTAAACGAATCCATTCTCAGGAGATAAGTCCTTGACCAAATACCACGGTATAAGCCGTCCATGTATGCTGTCCCCCTTCCCAACGTCATTCGCCTGCTAACTTAAGGTTAAGGCAGGACATGCCCGAGTATTATTGCGTAGGCTATGACCACATAGAGGAATTGACCGAGCCACTTGGAATGACAGGCACGAGGAGACGAGACATCTTAATCCTCTTCGCCGGCTGCGAAGACGGACGTAACCTCTTTTCCGCTATCCTCTCCATAGCTTACAAGAACGCAGAATCGCGCCGCCCTTCCTTGAGGAAGCTTTATTTCACTGTACTAGATCTAAAGCCGGCGGCACTGGCCAGGTTACTCATCTTTTTCAATATGATGGAGCAAGTTAACACGATAATTTTAGGACTAGTGCCTGGTGCCATGGACGGTTATCTGACCATGGCCTACGTCTTTAGCTGTTAAATTATCCCACCGTTCATTAAGGCTAAGCTCTAGAGTAACATTAAAGAGCTCATTAAAAGGCTTAAGGGTAAAGCTACCTCTCTTTAGTTTGCCTCCGTTTAAGAGCACGATTAGGAGCCTCTTCTTTGAGTTCTTCGTTAGTGGCAGCAACCGTGCGACGGCTTTTCTAATGTCGCCGATATACGTAGACTTATAGAGCAAAAATAACGGCAGATTAATATACAGACAGCTTCCCTCATGGGCCACGCCCTAAAGCCTGGTCCCAGAGAAGAGAGAGAGGAGTTTAAGAGATTTTAAACATTATTGCCACTTATAGCGGTTATGAAGCGCCGCGAGCCTAAGCTAGTCGAGCTACTAGCAAAGTACCAATCATTAGGCAAGGGTAAGAAACTGTCTTAATACATTAATTTAAACTAGAGATTTAATAATACACTCATCAACTACGATTATGCGATTAGAAGACGAGAGCAGGGGAATGACGTACCCCAGCCGTTTAAGTGTTACCCTCTGAAAGTAATGGAGTTAATACGTGTTCTGGACTTCGCGGGAAAGGCTAAAACCAGCTGCATTGAGAAACTTGCAGACATATTCCGCGCCTTCGCCGTCTGTGCAGAGATGCTTGACCCTGGCAAACGGTTGGTCGTGGAAGTGATTGTAGGGGAGATGGCCGACATCATGGACCGCATGCGCTACAATTTGCTGGACCACCGCTTGTCACCCCCAAAGAATAGTTATGCGCCCGATCCGACTCTGTTTCCTCGGACCTTTGACTACATACACATGAGCAATATCCCGTAAGATTTGTACCTCCTTGCCGCTACTTGAGCTCATGCAAAGTCTGACAGATGAACCCAGAGACTACATCGGCGGCCATTTAATATCCTTCTTAACGGGCCGGCCGCTTCTTAAGGAAGACTAGCTATCTAGCTTACGGTTTTTTAACCTTCTTAACCCTCTTAAGTTTAAAGATTATAAGGCCTTTTAGTTTAAGTATCTACTCATATACGATAATAAGCGTATCCGCTAGCACTTTATGCTCACGAAGCGTCTAGGCATGGTTAGGAAGGAGGACTTACCACCTATAACTGGCATACTCTATAATCCGTTTACATTTAAGAAATATATGATATGGGATAGAGTACTAAGGAGCGCTATGCCTTTCCAGAAACTCCTATCTAAGATAGAGTTTAAGAAATGGGTATACAGCCATTTATTAAAGATTTACCTACCGTATCCGCGGCTAGTCTTTAGTAACCGGCCCGTGTACGCGCCGCTTAACCTCACCGCTCTTATCCATCTCGTTATTAGCATGTTTAAGGTCGGATACCCGGCGCATTAGCTAGTCAGGATCCTGTCGTGTATCTGCACCGGCGTTATTACGACCTTGGCCCGGCCGCCCGAGAAGCGAGTCTACAGTCCCGCGCAAGTCGACGCAACTCCTCCAGCCAAGGAAATTTCTGTACAGCCCTGGGTTGCCGAGTTCACTACTTTGCTTAGCATATGGCGTCGCCTGCTGCCGTTTGGGATTGACTCTTCACTTAGCGGAAGTCTAGTTCCGCTCGAAACGATACATTAGTATAGTATCACTTTTCCTCCGTTCCCCGCCATTAATGACGCTAGGCCTCACTTTAATCTCGTCTTTTGAAACACCAAGGTGGGAAACATGGCAGAACGTTTGTATTCTATATACAGCCTCTTGGACGGTAGCGGGGGAGGAGACAACTCCAAGTCCGCTAGAAATATCCGAGAGAAAGGGATCATATGCGTGACCACGTTTCGTTTCATCACGGCCTCTAGAACGGCTGAATTTTAGATGCGGGCCGATGAAATGGAGCGAATAAGGGCCGGGAAATGGCGTGCTTTCATCTGGCGGACAGACGAATGGGAGGCCTCGACAGACGGCGTAGATGTCTCCAGTGGGGTGACGACGGGCAAGAAGTGGACAACGGAGGCTCTTTTGGAAACGAAGCCCGAGGGTACATGAGTTTGGAGTCTTGGTCCGAGATTAATATGTCGCGGCTGGCGAGCAAGTCTGGACACCTTGAACTGTCATTGTCAGTCGGTCGGCACGACGAGGAACACCAACACGCGTATCCCGGCGCGGAATGTGTCACGTTGGCCTACTAGTACGTGAAACTACGAGCAAGAAACAATGGACGTTGGGACGGCCAAGGCATTTCGCTACCTTAGGCACCCGATATGAAAATTTCTTTTCTTTAAAACCAGTTAGACCATATCATCAATTTACAACTTTGTTTATAAGTATTATTCTTCTTGGGCCGGCCTGTGATACAGCCCAGTGGCGCGTGACCCTGTCTCACCTGCAGTCCTGTCCAATTTGACCAGCGTACAGCACTGGTCGAAAAGAGACTCGACCGGGTTTGTCACGGACGTTGGATACTTCCGAGCTAATACAAAGGCCGGTGTGAAAATGTAAAAACGTATCGTTTCTCTTCAAGTACTTACGTAGCGTCGGCCAACGACACATGTCCAAAAACCTCTTGCGTCGTCATCACTTGCCTTTGTCATCACACCGCGCGCCGTTTAACACGAACAGTTCATCCGCACCATTATCTTCCCGGCTTTCCTAATCTTGTGACGCGAGATTCGTAACCGACAATGAGGACACCAGTAACCAGTCATTGTCTGGCAGCAACAGACATTCCGTTTCCTTCTCCTCGCTTAAGCTTGATGGAGCTAATCGCAACCTTCCACCCTCGGGCGATCCATCTTCCATCGGACAATTTACCCAACCCTTCTCAAAGGTCCTTTGCGGCAACTTGTGTACCACGTAATACGTCCTGTTGTGCTACCTCCAGCGGGAGAGCCTCGGTACAGAGCGGTCAAGTATATTTCCTCTTAATCCTGCACACATTCATGGAGCGGTCTCTGTGGAGGCAAATCGCCGCCATATGAGCGAACGAGATCAGCCTACCGCATTCCAACTGCACTACACCATGTTGTCAACGTCCATCTTTCCACAAGTGACCATTTGGAGAGCTGTTGAAGACAACAGGAAGCTGAGCAAATACCCATGCCTGTCGGGGGTGTTTTGGCCAACATCCGCTGATGTGGTGTTACCACAAGCAATTTGACTTGGTATGGGCGAGCCACCCGACTCCCACTCCGCGACAATACCGGAAGTTGAAGCCCAACAAACCACGACATGACTCTAACGCATGGCAGGTAAAAGCTTGAGGGCAGTCAACGCCGAGAAATTCCCTGGGCGTTTCTAAATATGGCACAAAAACCAGTCACCCGTCCTCGAGGCAAGACAAGTCCAGCCAGTAGGTGCTTCTGCCGTCTACACCGAGGTTACTGCCGTCCCGAGGTGCTTTACATATGTGCTTCCGTGATCAGCGTCTGCATTCATACCCGTCGGTCTGGGGTGGCGGTAGGTAGGCCAAGTATGATGGACATGAGACATTGAGGACGACATATATGTCGTGTGCCGCTGTTTACCCCTCAATCAAAATGTGTTGTACCGCGATCATGTTCCGGTCGGGACTGTTATGATTCTTCTGAGAGCAAAGTTATAGAAATACGCAACATCTACTCCGGGGGGACATGTCTTGCCACGGCGCTGCGCGAGTCGCATACAGCCTCCTACTCACAGCTCAGCAGGTTACGGGACTCCTGTGCCGAGCTCCCCTAGTCAGAATCATGAAACTAGAGGTTTGTAGCATGTCATTGAAAAGACATTTCTGCTCCTGAAGCTTCGGAACGGCTTTGGGCAGTTCACCACGCGGGCTCCTCCTGCTAACAGAAGGGCCAGAATCTCAACTTCACGCTTCCCGAGGGGACAACCAACCATGGCGATCCTCATCTGCTCTGTTTCCCCGCGACGTGGAACAGCATTGCTGTTTTCATGATAGGCAACTATCTTGCTCTCGCAGCAACCGTCAAGACGCCGCCGGCAAGCTCGCCCTTTGCAACCGCATGGATCATGCTGGGGGCGCTCCTCGTGCCCTCAACGGGCCTCGTCTTCGGCATGTCGGCCTTCTACCAAGCCAGAAAGGGCCACGGAGAGTCAGGGCTGCGAAAGGCCACTCTGGAACGCGCGCTCTGCATGTACGTGAGGGCCGATGACTGGTACAGCAAGCCGTGCTCCAGCAGCCGGCTCTTGCAGGTCAACGCGACGGTCGACACCTCGCCTTTTTCCGGGAAGCGACTGAACAATCCATCGTGGCGTCTGTTTGACGGAGTCTCCAAGCGGGGAGGCCCGCTCGTTTGGTCAGTGCCGGCACTTTGTCGCTTGTAATTTAGTATTTCGTTTGACCTGACAGCCCGCCATGTGTTCTGCCTGATGAAGGCAGTTGACAACAACAACGACGACGACGACGACGACGACGAGCAACAGTCGGAAGAAATGCAGCCGGTACCTGAAGATGTATCGTTGTCGGACAGGTATGCCTCGGGAACCCTCCAGTTGCCAAATAGGTTTGTCGTTGCTCATAAGCTTCATCTGCAAGTACGGCTGTTGGGCAAGGCGGGAGCCAGCAGCCGACCGAAACGGCCGTCATTTTCACCACGCGGGCGTCTAATCTAGTCAACCCAGACTCTGAAATATACGTCGAACCCCCGCCTGTTGCAGGATACGTGCTGGCCTACATGCCGGTCGACTCGATTGTAGATCCTGTTGCAGAACCCTGCCCCGGGCTGAGGACTCTGGGCTTGCTGACCAAAAGACGAAACGCAACCAAAAGCTTGGTTGCGCTCCTGCAGCTCTGCTTCTCTGTTTTCGTCCTTGCTCGGGCCCGAGGGGACCAGGTCGCCTTGTATGGCGTGGCGGCTTTTTCTCTCAGTGTCGCCCCCTACGCCGTCATGGCTGCCGTCAACCTGCTTGCCAACGCGTTTGTCCCGCAGTACGACTGCTTGTTCCTTGTCGAGAACGACGTCATGCAAGAAATGAGGTCACAGCACGGCTTTCAGTTTGACGGCGTGGCTGGCAAACTTCGACAGACGGAAAAGGGCGAGGCTGTAACATTGCATCCGCTTGGGCAAGGCGGGAGCCAGCCAGCAGCCGACCGAAACGGCCGTCATTTTCACCACGCGGGCGTCTAATCTAGTCAACCCAGACTCTGAAATATACGTCGAACCCCCGCCTGTTGCAGGATACGTGCTGGCCTACATGCCGGTCGACTCGATTGTAGATCCTGTTGCAGAACCCTGCCCCGGGCTGAGGACTCTGGGCTTGCTGACCAAAAGACGAAACGCAACCAAAAGCTTGGTTGCGCTCCTGCAGCTCTGCTTCTCTGTTTTCGTCCTTGCTCGGGCCCGAGGGGACCAGGTCGCCTTGTATGGCGTGGCGGCTTTTTCTCTCAGTGTCGCCCCCTACGCCGTCATGGCTGCCGTCAACCTGCTTGCCAACGCGTTTGTCCCGCAGTACGACTGCTTGTTCCTTGTCGAGAACGACGTCATGCAAGAAATGAGGTCACAGCACGGCTTTCAGTTTGACGGCGTGGCTGGCAAACTTCGACAGACGGAAAAGGGCGAGGCTGTAACATTGCATCCGCCGGGCGAGGCGGACGAAGGCCTGAAGTCAAGTGGGTTTCTGGGATTCCCGGATTCCAGCAAGACGCGCGGCTGCGGGTGCTTACTCCGGACGAAGCCATATCGAACGGCGTCCTACCAGATGTATGCATCACAATCAGTGCAACCCAAGAGACTGAGCGCCTGGGTCGCCGGAGGGACAAGTACCTCCAAGTTACAAGGTACCCTGCAGTCCGGCAATGCTTACGTGGCTTTCCTTTGCTGTGACTCGACATCTAACAAAGAATAGTATCACGCTCGTCGGTCTTTCGCCTTTTGCAATCATCTCCATCATATCCAAGATGGAGCTTGGGCGAAACACAACAGCCACGCGGGCGACGGTGCAGTTGATATGGACTGGCTACCAACAAGTGCTGGGAGTGCTCATAGCAACCAAGCTATTCCTAGCCCAGGGCAGGGTCGCAGTTCCCGCGCCGATGCTTCGACAGTTTTGGTCCAACAGCAATCGGCTGCTGACTCCGGAGTTGTTTCGTCGGCTCGGCTTTCACAGCAGGATACATGGGAGCCTGCAGCACCGGATGATTCGTTTGATGTACAGACTTTGGATTCATGCCAACACCCTGCCGCTGATGTTGTTGACGCTTTTGTGATATCCCTTTGCCGTCGGGGATCCTTTCCAAACCACAGTCTTCTTCGCATGCTTCGTTCCTGCTATCTGGGACTTGTCATTGTTGGCAGGATGTTGAAGGAGTATGGCAACTGTGTCCGCGCGTCCTAACAAGCAGTTTGTGGACTCGTAGTTCACAAGCCGTCAAGTACACGGCACGGGGACAAGACAATGTCGTGGTTGAGTGGTAGTAGTGCATCATGGGTGCTTAGGATCGTTTCTGCCGGTGCAGTCGACTTCCGAGACGGGGTTATAATTCAAGACGGTAAGGATCGGGTCGCCATGATGACCGACGCGGGATAGGAAGAATAGTTGAATTTTCAATAGGTGTCATCAACGAAATGAAAGCGAACCTGGGTACTGGGTGGCCAGTGATTACTTTCTTCTGTTGACAGATATTGACGAATCTTTGCCACCCCATGCCAAAACTCTGATGCAGCCAAGCGCTGCCAATCTCTGGTTAATCTGCACATAGTCTCGACAGGCCATAACCATGTCCCCCATACTTGCTCAGACTTGGCAGCACTGATGCACAAATATGTCTGACGAGCTAGTAAGACATGTTTCTCGGAGCTGGGAACGTCTCGCTGTCTGCATCTCGAAATCGACACAACAACCATCCTACCCTACACCTCGCCCTTCACGCCTCGCGCATCTACCTTCTCGCAATTTCAAGTACTCTTTTCACAACTTCACTACTAGATGACGAACCACCTGTTTTACTGACATGTAATACCCGGTCGCATTTCTAGCCAAGGAACCGCAAACCTCCGTCATCACCACAAGATCGACGACGCACAACAATACAATATGACCTTGCAACCTCGTAAACTAGCGGGATGCTACCTTGGTCTTTCCAGCTTTGAAAGAGACGTGCTGCCACGAGTCGCGACAGCCGAGTTGAAACGCCGCTGTCTATATCCGCGCCAATAGAGTCAATGTGGAGACACTCGCCGCGGGGACAACTGTGTGTCAGGCCTGGTCACGCATGTGTTTTCGTGTAATACAAGAAGAGGGGGAGCAGCAAACCGCGAACTGGGCACAATGGACGCATCAGAGCGCTGGGTTATTTTCTAGTCAAGCGAGCGGTCTTTGCATCCAAAAAGAGGGGTTCAACTCTGCTCCCCTACTTCGGTCGTCCCCATCACCATCCAGGCACCGCATTCTAAACCATGGCCAACCAAACCTCGTGAGTCAGCCCAGCCAACCTCGAACCCTCCAACAACATCAACTGACCTTGAGCCGTCAACCCGCAGCCGCACGTACACGCTCAACACGGGAGCCGAGATCCCCGCCATCGGCCTGGGAACATGGCAATCCAAGCCCAGCCAAGTCCAAGCGGCCGTGGAGGCCGCCCTCGGCGTCGGCTACCGACACATCGACACGGCGGCAGCATACGGCAACGAGAAGCAAGTGGGCGCGGGCATCAAGGCGTCGGGCGTGCCGCGCTCCTCCATCTGGCTCACGACCAAGCTCGACAACCCTGACCAGACGCGCGCCGCCGCCGCGCTGGACGAGAGCCTCGCGAACCTGGGCACCGACTACGTCGACCTGTACCTCGTGCACTGGCCGGCGGCGACGGACCCGGACGACAACACCAAGCTCGTGCCGGGCTGGGACTTTGTCGACACGTGGCGCGAGATGCAGAAGCTCGCGGCCACGGGCAAGGCGCGCAACATTGGCGTGTCCAACTTTGGCATCGCCAACCTGGAGAAGCTGCTGGCCGACGAGAGCTGCAAGGTACGTACGGCGACGGCCACTGCGATACCACCAGCGTCCCCCTCCCTTTCCAACCACCGACTCCAAAAAAGAGAGAAGAGAAGAAAACACCACGTCTAACCGCCCCCAGATCGTCCCCGCCGTCAACCAGATCGAGCTGCATCCCTGCAACCCCTCGCCCAAGCTCGTGGCCTACAACGCGGCCAAGGGCATCCACAGCACGGGCTACTCGTGCCTGGGCTCGACCGACTCGCCGCTGCACACGAACCGGACGCTGCTCGAGCTCGCCCGCGCCAAGGGCCGGACGCCGCAGCAGGTGCTCCTCATGTGGGGGCTGCAAAAGGGCTGGAGCGTCATCCCCAAGAGCGTCACGCCCGCGCGCATCGAGGCCAACTTTGCCCTGGACGGGTGGTGCCTGACCGACGACGAGGTCCGGAGCCTCGACGCCGTCGAGGAGCGCTTCAAGGTCTGCGGGGACGCCTGGCTGCCCGTCAGGGTGTTTTTCGGCGACGACGAGTGACGCCAGAGCGCTGATGCCAACGAATTGTTGACCTGGGATAGGGAAAGCGGAGAGGGCCGGACTTGCTGAATTTGAGCCTTTAAGCTGCTGAATTTGGTCGTTTTCTAGCCCTCTTTTATATATTCCCCTGCCGGGGGCCGCCTGCGGCGAGCTCTGGCCTGCGGCCGGCTTTGGCGTCAATAACACTACGAGGTCTACGGTGCATTTCTCGTGAGCTCGAGCTCCTTTTTCATGAAGTAGTGGCTGATGGTCTTTTGTATTCACGACATCATAAGCTGGAAGCTGTAGCTTAACGTGTGACTGGCTTGCCTGCGTTTTCATCAGACGGAAAGCGCAGGCGAAGCTCTCTCCCCGATAAAGGGGAAATACAATCGTGGTCGTCTCAGTGTATACTGATACGTGTGGTAGAGATGGGTATAAATAGCCATGATTAAAGTCTACTTGGACGAATTAACCAAAACTATGCTCCTATTGTAAACAGTAATATCATTCGTAGTTGCCTACCTACCGCTATTGAATGTGGAATTAAAAAACATGTCTAAACGGAACCAACCAAACCTATACTTCCAAACCAAAATCACCTGTAGTTCCTACCAACTAGTAAAAACTAGAATTAAGTTATGCCTAGACGAATCAGCCAAAGCTTGCTTCTGAATTGCAGACGCAGCAATGTCAGTAGTTCGTTCCCCTACCAACTGTTGAATATAAAATTAAAAGTTGCCCACGCAATCAACCGCACCTATAACTCCTATTTGAACACAACAATAGCATTCGTAGCGTTCCCACAAACTATCAAGTAATATTACGGCACGCCTGAATGAATCATACAAAACTACGCTCCTCTTTTAAGCAACTATATCGTTCGTAGCGTTCCCACCAAATATAAAAGCCAAGTTGATCAAGTTGATCAAGCTCAAACCGGCCACGGGTCGAAGCAGCCAACTTATATACAACATCAAAGCCCACAGCCAGGGCAGTAATCTGAACCACCAAATCTATTTCTATCCAAAACCGCCTAATCTATCATGCACCCCCATCAATATACAATGCATCTACTTGGCAACCTACAAAACCAAAACACGCTCGCCCTCCAAAAAGACGGGGTATCCAACTCCAAGCGCCCACACAAAGCTACAGCTTGGCCTTGTCTTGACCACCCCCATCCTCGTCAGCCAGCACCCTCGCAACCTGGGCACGGATATCCGCCGCCAAAGAGGCAGCCTCGTCGTCGTCCAGCTCGGCGCGCCGCCCCCTCCCAAACATGGTGAAGCTCTCGCTCATCTTGCCGCTGGCGCGAATCTCCGGGCGCGGGATGACGTGGTAGTGCACATGGGGCACGACCTGGGCGGCGGCGGCGCCGTTGTTCTGCACCACGTTCCAGTCGTGCACGCCGGTCGCGGCGGCGAGCGCGGCCGAGAGCACGCGCACGTGGTGGCCCAGCTCGCGCGACTCCCGGCCCGTCGTGTCGGTCAGCTTGGGCCGGTGGGCGCGCGGGCAGAGGAGCAGGTGGCCCTTGGACAGGGGCATGATGTCGAGGAAGGCGACGACGAGGGGCGTCGAGAGCACCATGAAGGACGGCGGGCTGGTGAGGTCGGCCGGTATCGAGGACGGCGGGTGGAGGGGGTCGTAGGGCTCGTGGGCGGCGGCGATGGCGCAAAAGGGGCAGCCTGATGTCGGGGGCGATGGGTCGGACATGATTCGGAGGGGCGGTGGTGATGAGGAGGAGGCGGAAGTGGTGATGGAGCTTGGAGCTCCGTTGCGCGGCCCAACAAGTCGGCGTTGACGGGCACCGATGTTGGTGGGTGAAGCAGTGATGTTCTGGCCTGGCTGCGCTGGCAATCAATGGTCCGACTGGATATGGCCGCGCGCTGGCGAGAGCGTGCCTGGAGTTTGCGGATGGGGAGCTTGGAGTTTGGAGAATGTGCATTTTTGAGCCGAGGTTGATGTCTGGCGTCGGGCTCCTGACGGCGCGCCTCGCGGGTTGGCTGGCGCCGGCGCCGGCTCCGCGTACAGATGGCCACGGCCGCGACATGGTCAAAAACACCATTGGCTTCTTGCCCAGACGTCTAACCTACGTGCTTGAGATAATCTCCATGATGATACAATAACCACACCCAGTCTCCGTCCCGACATCCCCCACACATCATGGCCTCCGATTTCGCTTCAATACACCAGCTCGCTCGTCTTCCATTCCTCCATACCCAACAAACCGCATCCAGTCCGTCATTAGAGATATTTTGACAGCCTGTAAGCGTTAGCAGTGATCCCCATCATCCTCCACATCGAAAAACACTCACTCTATCAAATTCCCATCCGGATCCCTAACATACACGCTCCTCATCGCTCCCATTGCTCCCGTCCTGCCCACTACCTTGCCCGCCTCAAGCACCTCGACACCATCGCTCTCAAAACCCTCCACAACACTATCCAAATCAACGCCGTCGGCTACTAGAAAACACAGGTCCGCCGTCCCCGGCAGCGCCGTCTGCGCCTTGGGTTCAAACTCCCTGCCCCTCTGGTGCAGATTGATCTTGTGCCTGCCAAACTTCAACGCGGTCCGCTGAATAGACGGCGTCGCCTCCGAGGTGAATGTCTCGGGTGTCATGCCGAGGTATTTGGTGTAGAAGGTGATGGTGGCTTGCATGTCGCTGCAAGTAAGCACCAGGTGGTCTATGTCCTTGACGGGCGCAAGAGGCTTGCTCATCTTGTATGTATGTATGCTGCGATGGATGCTCAATCTGTGAGGATTGGGTGCGCCGGCAGAGAAAGTTGTGTTAAAGGCGCAGTTGACAATAGTCGGCGGTACAAGTATGAAATAAAGGCCGGCCAATCTAGCCGTCATGATGTGAATTCTTTCCCTTATAGGCTACGCTTCTCGGCCCAGGATTGGGTGACAAAAACTACGAGGTGATTACATTCTCAATTGGCACCACGAAGCAATATAATCCTTTAATAGCAGTCCGTTGCGCGCGGCAAGAGGGCGGTGGTTACCCTGCCACAACTCTTACAGATCAATGGCGAGACACGCCTTTGCAGGCGACATTCTTCAATTAAGCAGTACGTGGGTTGTCGCCGCGTCTGGCGAGTGTCCCCTACACCTTGACCAAATAACCGTGAGCTGGTGAATGGTGGCGTGGGCTGATCGACCCCGTTCTCAAATGGTGGTCTGGGTGGCTGGACGAACTGACAAGGTCGACTCCAGCCTCAATAGCTTTGCACGTACACGCGCGCCGCAACTTGTGAGACTTGGACGGATTCCCTCAGCCCTTCCGCGAAGCAGAGGTCGGAGTGAGGTGCGCCGCGATGCAGCGTGTCAGCCTAGAAGCAGCCTCAACGGCCGTTCTCGGTCGCGGGGCTCGTGAGAAGAACGAAAAGAACGAAACAATGGTCCCCTAATACTAGACGTTTGCTCAGAGGGAAATCCAACCATCCAGCCATTCAGCCTGCGGCGTAGAGGCAGCTACCCGTACGTGCCATAGCCGTAGCGCAAGATCGGAGCAAGACAGGCCGGAAAGACGGAGAAACAAAGAGACAAAGGAAGAAAGACAGAGAGAGCGCAAGACTGCGAGAGCGACATCGAACCCGAGCCGTTACAGACACACCGTGTTGCACAGACCTAGAATGGGACTCCGATCCCACGCCCCGCGGCGAAACAAACAAACAGCCGGGCAGACACCCGTCGTTGCTCCGACTCAAACCCTCAACAGGGGAGAGCTTGGGGGGTTGCGCCATAGTGACCATGGTGGCCAAAGCCTCCATCTTGCTGACTCCGTCTCTGTCTCCAGATTATGCCCCAAAACGCCCCAAGCTCCGCAATTGGTGACGACGTGACGAGCAGAGAGAGAGAGAGGGAGGGAGAGAGGGAGAGAGGGAGAGAGGCGCCGCATCCAGGCATCCTCCACCCCGCCAACCAGCCATCCTACTCTTCCTTCTTGTTCTTTGCCCCCCAGCCTATTCGTCGACCCAAGTTGCTTGACCAGCTCTCAAGTGTTCTCTCCTTGCCATCTCCCCGTATGTACGCACAACTCTGTGGAATTGCATACCCTAATTGACAGCCTGGCTCTGACTGACATGATATACCATGCTTTTTTTTTTCTCCGCAACAATATGGGCTTGCTTTCCGCTACACGTTACCCGTTACCCGTCGCCCTGGGCGAGCCGACCAAGTGTCCAGGCAATAGTATCTCGCTCTCGTCCTCAAGTTGGTTTGACGGTGAATTGGACACGAGGCTGTGGTGACTAGAGAACCGCACGTCAGACGCGCTGCGGTCAGTTATTCCCCCCTTACCTCAGTAACGCAGGTACGGTAACTACCAAGGACCGGCTGACGTTACCGGCACCTCAGCTTCTGCCCCTCAAAGACTGAGGCAAAAAACAAGAGCGAGCTGGTTTCGGTCTAGAACCAAAATGAGTACTCCGTATGTCATGTGCAGAGCCGGAGCGATCTCCAGGCGGGTGCTGTGTATACTTTTGGTGTCCATACTTTTTGTGCTGGTTGTCTTGGTACCCGTCGGGACTCCAGCCTGGCCCAGTTTGATCCCAGCGAGTGTGCTCCGTACGGACGGAGTGCTGCGTACCTATTATGTATTGCCTACTGGGTACCTACCTAGGTAAGGTAGTTGGACGGCCAAGAGTTCCTGTCCACGGCTCCAGGAGCAGAAGTGGGCGTGGCGTTAATGAAACGACGGCATTTAGCACCACGGAGCTCTTGATCGCACCCCCCTACCTTTCTCTGCCTTTGTGTGCTGCTCACTCGCTGACTAGGTCACTTCCATGCTTGCTCGTGTTGCTCCTCGTTGCTCCTCGTCCCCTCCCTCCTCTACCCTCTGGGCCTCGCTCTGTAGCCAAGTACTCCGTACCAGTGCAAGCCAAACGTACAAGTAGCCTTCTCCCTCCCAACTTTCCCTAGCCATCCTCCTCCTCTATTCTCCTCTCTCCTGTGTCGTGCTGTGTTTACCTAATCCCATCTGTTGCCATTCCAATTCCCTCGGCAGGCACCCACTTACATCCCCAATCGCCTCATCCACGTAGCCGGTCCTTATTCTTTTCCAACCCAATACCGAGTAATGTCTTCCCGAAAGAGAAAGCAGGACGAGGAAGAGGAGGAGCTCGTCTCTCTCCCCGAGGAGGATGATGGTGAGGAGGAAGAGGAGTAAGTCTGCTTCCAAATACGAGCTCATACCCGGAGCTTCAACCCAGATCCTCAGCCACCCAGCCTTGATCGCGCCATTGTCAATCAGATCCGCCCTGGGACAATATTTCTGGCTCAATTGAGGAATCAATTGTGATGAACCAGAGCATCTCTAGCCTTTTCCGGTCCGGGACCAGGCAACAATATTTCGGCGCATTCCGCTCGGCGCATCTGGTACTTACACACGAACTCGGGCAACATGGACTAACCACCCACTAATAGGTATGTCTCCACCGCAGACGAGGAAGAAGACGACGACGCCGAAGAGGAGGAGGAGGAGGAGGATGACGAAGAAGCAGAAGTAGAGGATGAAGATGAGGCCGAGGCTGAGGCTGAAGCTGAAGCCGAAGCTGATGAAGGAGGTGACGGCACGGAAGATGCCAAGGCCGAAAAGAATGGCGTACATGGTAAGTCGCGTACCGTCACCAGAACACTGGCCGCGACATCAGCGCATCTCTAATTGCTTACTTTCTGTACAATAAAGACGACCAACCCCCTGTGAAGAAGCGCAAGACGGCGGAGGCGCCTACCGAGGAAGTCACCAATGGCGAGACTGCCAACGGCGACGACTCCAAGAAAGATGCTGATGGCGATGCTGCCGGCGCCGGCGCCGAAGACGAAGCACCTACCATGGAAGCCGTCAAGGCGACTGAACCTCCGGCAACCCATACAGAGGCAGAACCCGAGGCCGTTGCAGCAGGAGGCGATGAGTAGTGGCCCATTCCAATCGTCAAATCTCTCCCCCCTATCTCTCTCGCTCTTTCCCCCCCACTGGCCTATCTGCAATCGCTGGATAACTTCCGTGTTGCCCTCTTGTCACCCTGGCGGTGGTCATCGTATATGGCACGTCACCGTGCTTTTGTGACGACAGAAACGGGGACACGGACGGTCTGCAGCGGCATGAGTCGCAATTCCAACATGCTTGCGAGATGACTCAATCTTGAGAAAGGATGTTTGATGTATTTGTAGACTGGCTATTGTAATAGAGTCCCTAGGGTTAACGGACAGATGACTACCGCGCGTCGCCTGCTTTTGACTATTTCTGACGGGTGCTGGACTGTTTCGTCAACGAATCGGAGAATTCGTGCAGTGTGACCGAATCCTGTATCTCATTTGTGCATGCATTATGCGTGCACGCGCTCCATCATCCACCACAAATCACAATCATTGGCGTGCGGTGCCATCCTACCATATGCTAGGCCGAAATTGCCAAGTTGTCGAGTTAGCACAATCGGTGCCCGGATCACGAAATAGGCCACGCCAATGCCTCCTCTCCCGGAGGTCGGCCTCTTCTGGATTGCAACCGAACAATGAGCGTGATAACCTCTGCTCAAATCGCGCAATCTGCCAATTCCGAAGACTTGTCAATCAACACCATCTTGGTTTACAATAATGAGATCAAGTCAAAGGGGATATGCTGAAACTATTCGATGCTCCTCGAGTGGATACATTGGATAGACGCTGTAATTCTCATGTACAGCGTCTATCCAGCTTCTACACGTGAAGTTTCCATACCCAACCCAACGGCTGCACCCCTAGTTGTCGTGCAACAGACTGCGAGGCTAGATTGTCGCTGCTTGTGCTGTAGAATAAGATGTCCCTGTGCAACCGTTCTGCGGCAGCCCAGGTTGTTAGAACGGCTGGCGCAAGTCGCTTGCCCCGATGGTCCTCTCGAGTCCAAATCCCAGCCTCTGCCGCTCGAAGAACACGTCTTGCTGAGAAGCAAATGCAAACGGCTTCTAGGCCGACGTTGTCAACCCCATCGACTAATCAGTTTGTACGGATAATTGCCATGGCCCAGGGACCAATCCGGCCTTCGATCAGTGCTTTCCAATCATCCGACTCCCAATTAGACCGTCGATGCAACTTGTGTCGGGCCGTACGGACTTCGCTCTCTGACACAGATGAGATGATGAATAGGGATGAACCATCAATGGCTGATGGGACTGGCTGATGTACGTTGCTCGGAATGATAAACGTAGGATGTTTACTGTGACAAACCCAGCTTGACACCAAGATGTTCTCAAGCTCGTGGTGCACAACATGGTAGAAACCTCTCCGTGGAGACTTGATCGGTTAGGTCTTGCCGGTGGTCAGAAGAGATTGCCGGGCTGGTCGCAACGAAACAGGCGGATTCAGACCAGATTACTATAGTATGTAAATCTTTGCAGCGCAGAGCTGGAGGTGCTCTAGCGTAGTTGGGCTCGTTGTAATTCAAACCAAATGTAGTATCAATCTCAAGTTCCAATAGATGAGAATCTTGGGTTTTGATACGATGATCCTTTGTTTCTTCCATGATCTATCAGACGTTAGGCTTTGTGATGTGATCAGTGGGAAATTCGCCTAGCTAACGAAGTTAACACAATGAACGACAAGCTAACCTATACCATGTATGAGTCATACGTGCTTCGCGGGGAATGTAATCAATAGAATACTGGCAATCACAATTTCGATCTGTTGCTGGCACCTAAAACAAGCCAGAAAGGTAACATTGTCTCATCCATGGGTACGCCATTTGCAATTAGGCCGTAGGGTCATGAGCTGTAACCGTTTTAGTCGATATTTGCCAATGCGGCCTGAGTTAGGCTCTATGCAACAGGGCTGATGCCAAGCATATTCGTAGCATTTGAGTTGAAGCAAGGGAATTTGATGTTCCTCTTAGCTTGGCACCTCACTAGAAGCAATGAGCCCGGAATCACGACTAGAGTTTCAAGCTGGATAAATTTGCTTGCACAAGGCCGAGCGGCCCAAAGCAAGGGACTGCATTCATCAACACTTGCGTTATCCTTAACGAGCCAAGACAAGCGGGAACTGATAATCATACCTGTTTCTTGATCGCCTTACATATCTGAGTTCATCGTGAGTGAGACAGAAGTTGTGCCTTGCATGAAACTTATGCAAGTAGGAAGGCACAGCATGGAATGTAATGAGAAGAGTCGCATATTGTACTCTGCGTGAGTTGCTGAAGCAATAGGATCCATTCAATGTAAGAGTAGGATGGTGTTGTTCAATCGTCCTCCCTGTGGATGAGACGTCGTGCAAGAAAATGCGATTTTTGAGAATATTTGCCGAATCAGCCGGGAAATAACTATGTTCTCCAAACCCGAACGAAATCTTGCTTTGCAGCAGCCTACTCGCCCAATCCATCCACTTGCCAGGGTCTTGTTTCACCTGAAGAGGGCTACTATGTTTATTCACATGTTCTATTGAATTTGAATCGTGTAAGGGAAATCACCTAGATGTTTAGGTTTGCTGTGGTATTTTTTTTTTCGGGCGTTATCTGAGCTGTCAGAAAAGTCAAAATACCCGTGTTCCTTGTTGAGCTGAAGAATTGACAAAGCAAATTATTTGGCTGCGCTAGAAGACCTCTGGCTTGATGGGGAAGAGCAAATGGGTGTGGTGGCGCCTGGCGATGATTTCCCCCATGGGTGAAGGCAGCTCCGAGGGTGTAACGCGACCCCTGAGATTCAACTCACTCCTTGCATTGCCGTCAGATAACTTGTAGATCCATGTTATTGGTGTCTTGTGAGGAGGATTTGAATAATGATGGGTTTGAGAAGCCCAGCCCTTTCAGAGACCAAGCCATCGGACTGAAGCTCATGAGCTATATTGTGCGTATTTCAAGCCTGTAGTAACTGCCCATCTGCGTAGCTCAAGACTTAGCGGCAACCGACTCTGTCCCTTGCATGAGTGGATGAGCAGCAAGTAGAGCTCCTCGAGGGGCTATTCTCCACAGACATGCGGAGTAGGTTGTACTGTATGTACATGGACATCGTCTGTTAAGGGCATTCACTATACAGATGCAGAAGTGGCTGAGGCAATAGCTGGTCTTCTAATTCATGGGCCGACAAATTCAACAGTAGCGATGCCGCTCGCTTAAGATCTTTGAAAGACATGGCTGACGAAGTGGCGTCAACTGATGGCGATTGAGGAATTGGAAGGGTCTGAAACACGCAAAAAAACACGCTCTTTGCCAAGTCAGAGAACAGACGCCGGCCCTTGTTATGGCGGCGATCTGCCTAGGATGCCCGTACTTCGTCAGCCAGAGCTTTGACGGGTAACAAGCTTAGCGAAGCGTTGGAGGATGGCGAGCCAACCTCACCGAAGCTGGATGAATCGGCAACGAGACGAGAGCTGAATGACCGTCGAGTATTACTTGTTCAATGTGTGGACGGAGCTAATTCAGTAGTTCTAGCATGGTGCCAATTAGTATCTTTCGAAAGTGACGAAGCCAATTGCTGCTTGCCTGCTTTGAAACCAATTCTGTGTTCTTTCTTTTTTTGGTGTGTCTTTGAGTGTATACTTCGGGACGGGAAAAGCAACCCTTGGGTGATTGAAGGAGGAGGGCCCCTGGGCAGGATGATGTTGCCGGGGCCGTGGGTGTCTGACAGTGAAGCCGAATGGATGCAGTCCCTTGGACCGATGGCGACTTTGGCCATTATCATGGAGTGATGTGTTGAAGCGTCATCGAGCGTCATCGAACATCATTGCCTGTGTTTTGGACAAGATTTGCCATGGTGCCAAACATTGAAACAACTGGCCCCATTCTAGGTGAAATTAGACGACAGGGCCATGGTTGGCAACAGCTCACGGACGACAAAAGTCTTTTTGAAAGCTGCAAGGGTCGTCCTCAGGGCCGCAGTAGCGTCGACATGCATCTCGGAAGAGTCAAGCCTGCTCTTTGACAGAATGCATGGAAGTTGTTAGCCTCTGCAGCTCTGCTGGCCTGGCAGCTCGCCGTAGAGTTTAGCAAGACATCAAATGCGCCAACAGTGAATGGGTCAATTGACCAACTAACTGGTCGCGCCTGCCTCCCCCAAATTTTTGCTGGCACGGGATGATTGGATCCCTCGGCTTTCGCCCATCGTAGTGCTGCCAGTGTAAATTGCACGGGGCACGCTCTACCAAGCGCCACATGTGCAGGCCTTCCTTCCTCTCGGCCTGTCAGTCTTGGCCGTCCATGTCACTCACAACTTGGACAACGGCCCCCGGCTCGCCCACAGGTTCCTGGGCGCTTTACTTAGAACATGTCAAGTATTACCGGAGAACTACTACCTGCAATAGGTACAGACAGGCTTAGAGATGCCCCTAGACACTTGGGAACTCTGCAGAACGCCAAGTCTGCCTACAACCTCAAATACTGTTACGCAACTTTCCACGTCGCGTCATGCGACACAGAGCCCCAAGGAGACGGCGTCCCGGGTAAACAACGTGACTGTGAAATATTCTGGGACGTGCTTGCCTTTTTGGTTCTTTTCGCGGCGCGATCGGGTCACGGCCGCGCATCTAGCGCGACAGGGCTCGTTATTTGAGGTGAGGTATGCGGTACCTGAGTCTCACACTAAGGTTCCATGGAAGACTGGTGTATCGAGTACCGAGCATCCGCCCCCCCGGTCCTTGCTCAGGCACCGAAATGAATATACAACACTCTTCAGGCAGATTCTATTCGAAGACGTCTTCATCCTCTGGCTGGATGGAAGCCGAGGACACACGGCCGGCTCGCCCTTACAGAAGCCAGCTGCAGGTTGCCAATTTTCTTGTCTCTCCAGCTCGACATTGGCATCGGGCGACAGGGTACGGAGCCCTCGGTACTCCCACAGATCCTGCCCGAGTGTGTTATTGACCGTTATTGCTTTTTCCTTGGACCTTGTCGACCATGACTTGAACCGTTTGATTGTGTGCCGCGGGATCCACGCATCCGGTCCATGCTTGTC